GGACGTTACGAAGTCTGCCTCCGAAACCCCGAGACGATCGGCGAGTGCTGCGAATATCAGAGGCGATATATGATGATCGACGCGCGCTATACTTTGCGTCGACCCAGCAACCGTTCGGAGACTGGACGCGCGCGTCTTTGCGTGGATAATGAATGCGTTAGTATTGATGTTGTGCTTTCGTTGTGCCTGAATCGGTTCTGTTATGCACGGGCTGCAGGAGCACCACCAGAATTACCAGAATCCTGGCCATATGATAATAGGATTCGTGGTGCGGTTTTGGCCTTTGTCGTAGCTTTAGGTGACGACAGAGGGGAGGGGAGGGGGTCGAGCAGAGCTCTTTCAGCTGCGTACGGGAGTGGGCAGAAGGCTGCATGCGTTTTACTGATGCAGCCGAGCAGGATCCAGACAACGGCTACAAGGAACGCTCTGCGTACCAAGGAGTTCGTCGTGTGGCGGAGGACACGTAAGAAGAAAGCTAAGACATTGGCTAGCGCAACGAGGAAATACGACAACCACAACCAACCTTCTGCACTCCCTTCTGCAACGAACGACAACAGCTACGCAGCTGAGAGAGATCTGCTCTAGAGAACAGAGGAAGTGGGTAGGAGGCTGCGTTTCACCACAAAATAATTGTGTGAAACTCTATGCGTGTTACTAACCTCATCGTCCTCCCGCAAAGAATTTCTGGCTACGCTACTGGTCTTTCACGATCCTCATATCCACCATTTTCCACACCCCGTGGCGCACGAGACTGTGAAGGGGCCCTGGAACACCTCTCCGAGTTATAATGAAACGGTCTCTTCACAAATAGTATGTCACGATGTGTTTCTTTTTTTTCTTTGTTTGGAATCCGTCAAGTACGCTAGCATTTGTCGCACACTTCAAGCACTTTCTTTCCCTCTCTCCCCGTATCTGCGAGCGCCCTGAAAGCTACGCGGGAAGTGGGGAGATGATCGAGGGGTCAAGAAGAAGCGGGCGTCACGATCTTCAGCAATTTATTTCCATTTTTTTTTTGAACACCCGCCTTGCTTTCTGTGTGATCGCAAGCGCGATCGCGGACATGTGACGGCATCTTTCGGTGACCACGTTAACTAAGCAGCTCGCGATGCTCATATCGGCCAATGGCCGTGACTTCGGGTATATGGCGCGGTCGTTTGAGTATATGTCATTTTTCTAGAGTACGGGGAGCGACTTCTAGCATTTTGGCTCGCGTGTTCTCATGAGCCTCGACTACCGATCAGGGGCGTTTTAAGACCATGCTACAAATGTGCTGCAATGCACCTTTAAGCATATGCCACACTACACATAAATTGGCAGCAGCAAGCACAGGACCGGGTTAACTGGCGGAACATGGGAGAGGCCTTTGTCCTGCAGTGGACGTAGTCAGGCTGATGATGATGATGATGACACTACACAGCCAATTAATTCTCGCCTTTCTTCACGGTGTTACTGAAAACGTAAACAAATTGAATAGAGTACAGCCCATTGTCACCTTCCTTCTCAGTGTTCCTGAAACCGCATGAAAACGTATCGGACGATGCATACACACGGCCACGGAGCCTCAGTGAATCGACTCTAGTCGGCCGATTTGTTAGCGGAGTTATTTCCCCCGCTTTCTCGTAGATACCGTATTGTAGCCTCGGTACCTTGTCATATTCACGTGACGAACTCATTGCTCCGACTGCGCGTTCAGAGCTCACTGTCGGAAAGCCAGCTTTCACGACGAAACTCGCACGGCGAACATCGGCGAAACGGCGCAATTCGAACGACAACTATATATGAAGGAAGAGTGGACACAACGCGAGCACTAGCTGGTGCGTTAGTCCGCCATTAAACAGACCATTGTCGGAATAGTCAGTGCTCGAATGCCGTCGCGAGTCCATCTTCGCACGGTAAATCAGTCAAGACCTTATGAACTTTTTGCATGGTAGTGGCCTACTGAATAGGATATAAGCACCATCGCTCTTGTTCATTTTATTTTTCGCGCGTCTAGTTCTTGCTCACCTATTGCCTTTAGCGCATACCCACTGTGGGGGATTGGGCAAGAATTGAGTGCGTTTATAAAATATTGTGCAGCTTTAGAATAATGGAGATTATATAATTGAAAGACTACCGATGACATAGGAAATTGTGGTGCTTAGTCTAGTGCGTATAATTATTTAAATAAAGAAAATAATTTATTCCTAAATTAGAGCAATACTCACATTTTTATACGTATATAATGTTGTAAACACTTTTATCTCCACGTTTCTTCTCGTCTTTCTTTTCTCTCCCCTTAATGCAGGGTAGCAAACAGGAGGCTACAATTCTGCTTGACCTCCCGGCCTTTCTCTTAATTTTATTTTCTCTCTTTTTTTGTTCAAGCTTTGCCGCGTGTCGCAGGAATAAAATTATCGTTGTGGCCGGCTCGCAATCAGTCACCGCCCAAGCAACGCTGGCGCCAAGAAAATGCGTCCTAGCCTGGAGGAAGACAAGTCCGCCCAAGCAACGCTAGCGCCGAGGAATTCAGTTCTAGCCCTGAGTAAGACAAGTCCGCCCAAGCAACGCTATAGCGCCAAGGAAATCAGTCCTTGCCTGGAGGAAGACAGGTCCGCCCAAGCAACGCTAGCGCCAAGGAAATCAGTCCTAGCCGGGAGGAAGACAAGTCCGCCCAAGCAACGCTAGCGCCAAGGAAATCAGTCCTAGCCGGGAGGAAGACAAGTCCGCCCAAGCAACGCTATAGCGCCAAGGAAATCAGTCCTAGTCTGGAAGAAGTCCGCCCAAGCAACGCTAGCGCCAAGAAAATCAGTCCTAGCTTAAAGGAAGACATGTCCGCCCAAGCAACGCTAGCGCCAACGAAATCAGTCCTAGCCGGGAGGAAGACAAGTCCGCCCAAGCAACGCTATAGCGCCAAGGAAATCAGTCCTAGTCTGGAAGAAGTCCGCCCAAGCAACGCTAGCGCCAACGAAATCAGTCCTAGCCTGGAGGAAAACAACTCGACTTGTACAACGAAACGTCTGCTCGCGGGCACAGCTTCAATCCTGTCGTTTTTTTTGTTTGTTTTTTCACACACGGAACATGACGAAACATGATTAGTAGTAGACCCGTAGCCGGGGAGAAGGGAGTGCCCCCCCCCCCCCCACCTAGAAGTTCAGACGGCGGAAAGTGTTTTAGCACGGACAAATAATAGCGGTGTTTTTCAAGGCCTTCAACAATATATTGCCCTCCCCACCGCCGAAAAAAAAGCGGAAAAAGGCTATATGCAATTAAAGGGATAACCGCACTTTAATTGCGTATGTAGCCAGAAATTCTTTTTCGAGTGGGAGGACATCCTTGATTTCGGGGGAGACACCTCATTAAAATGGGCATTTTTATCTATCTATATGCAGTGGGGAAAAAATCGGGGGACCCTAAAGCTAATTAGGAGACCCTAAGGGCCTGGTGTGCCACCCCCTGGCTAGCGACGTTGGTATTGTAAATGAGTAGGCCTGCTTCACTTTATGTGAGAAAAAAAATGTTTTTTTTTCTCAAGAGGAACCGCCATAGAGACTTTTTCTCAAGAGGAACCGCCAAGAGGAACCCGCCATAGAGACTTCAAACTATGTCACAATCTACTCCCTCTTCGCACTGCCCTCCTCTTTCTCCCCCTTTTTTTTTGTTTCGTCTCTTTTCTATTGTATTGGCTTGTTTCTGTCCCTTCCTGTCTTTCCGCCTGTTTCTTCCTTCCTCGCTGACCAGAATCTAAAAGCGAATGTCGTGCAGAATAAATCACGGAATTAGCACCGTTAGCGGCTCAGGTTCTCCTTCAGGGAAGGGGGGGGGGGGGAGCGAAGGTTCGTCGCAGGCCCCCTCCCCCTCCGAATTATGTCAACACATCGGCTGACTTTGGGGCCATGGTGCACTCCCTTTCGAGTCACAGAGACCCCCCTCTTTCTTCAATGTCAATGTGCACGGCCGCTTTTCATCTGGTGGCCGTGGTATGCATATGGGGCTGAATTTGCGTAACTAGCCCCCCCCCCCCCCCCTGCAACCACCGTGCGCGCGTCTATGCGGAGCACTGACGCACTGTGAACCAACATTTCTGGCTAGTGAACCAAAGTGAGTGTGCGGGTAGTTCCGATATAGCTATAGGGCGGTAATATCGCGGCTTCTTCTCCACATTTCTGCTTCAGAAGAGGTCGCCACGGACAAGTGGCCATCAACGATCAACTTGAAAATCTCACCTTTCTTTCATCAACAAATCTGTATCCTCCTCCTCTGTTGTAGCCACCTGCTGTAGAAGCGTTCAGTGGTGCCAACGTGGTGCTCCCGTAGAGAGGGAGAGAGAGAAACAACTTTATTGACGGCATAGCAAGGTCGGTAAACTTAATTTACCGGTGGTTGGAAGGGTGGTGGCCAAAAGCTTGCCACGACCGTTTCGGCCCGGTTAACCGCTTCTGCCTGAAGACGGTAGTCAGATGACGACAGGAGCGACTCCCACGCCTCGAGGGAGGAGGTTTCTCCCGTTGAAAGATGACCAAAAATAACTATACAAATTTGCGGAATTGTGTAATTTTTAGTTTTGCGGTGAGTTTCCGCGCCACAATAGATCGAAAAGGCAGAATCGTCCTATTTTTTCCCCTTTCGTGTAAGCGTTAATATACGTTGTGATAACAACCCGGCGAGGCACTTTTGCGAGTGAACATAAATGACAAGAGATCGCACTTATCTTCGATGAGCTTATTGTCGCCCGCCCGCCATTCTGACGATCGTGATAAACACGTTTTTTTTTTCGGGTGCAGGACGTTATCGCATTGCCGCAAATTAAATTTCCCGCAAGTGTATCTTTATTCGCGGCTTAAAACTGCTGTCGCCGCCTGTTGAGCGAGATTGTATGTAAACAAACGATCGACGTGGGTTAGTCAAACCTACATTTATAAATACATCTAACAGCGAACATTCATCTTTATTTTATTTGTATTCTTACTGTTTATATTAATAAGCTTGGCACAAAACGCCGTGGATGGCCGTGGAGACGAAAAGTACACGATGTATCAGGTTTTTCTTCGACTCGCTCACCTTCTTCCGCCATGAGCGCTGCCTGACACACGCGAGGTTTGTCTCACTTCTTGCTGAAATAAGATGACTGCCGCTTAAATTTCGAGTCACAACGCGTGACTATGTTCTCAAACATGCGTCGATGTGCTGCACTTGCTTTTTCCGAGCGAACGAATGAGCCTAGTGCGCTACCTTTCGCGCCGCAGTCATAGAGAAGTAAAGCCGCAGTGGTAGAAAGCGACGCCTGTGCCAGTGTGTTTTTTTCTCGTCTTTGATTGTCGCTTTCTCTCTTACCCTTCTTCCTTTTCTTCTCCCCCTTGGCCGCATCAAATTTTTAGCCGGTTGCGTGAAAGATGCGAGGCAGCATGTCGTTATCGTGGCAACCGCAAGAAGATGGACTCCGGCAAATCCTCCAGCTACTGAAGGAATCCCAGTCACCGGACACCGCTACCCAGCGTGCCGTGCAGCAGGTACTTGCGACGATTTCTGCTGGCGCTCGGTCGAAGCGGCCGTGCGCCTCGGTGTCGGGCTCGCGCATGCACCCGCATGAGTTAGGCCTAGTCGACCGCCGTAACCCATCCCGCCGGCCCGCACCGATCAATGGGCACTTTTGAAATGCTCGCCGCACGAGCGCCAGAACCTTCCGATGTCGTGGGCTCGTCCCCGAACAAACGCTTGCCGCAAGAAAAAGAAAAGCTGGTCCACGCTTTCGTTTACAGTCAGAACGCGGAGCGTAGTTGCATTTTTTTTTTTCTTCTCGTTTTTGCGTGCTAGGCAATAATCTAATCTTCACACCATTGATCGTGCTTGCGCGTCGTCTTTTTCGCTACTTGTGTCCAGCGCGTTGCGGGTTCGAATAAGTTCCTTTCTTGCGGCTTAATTCAGCTTAGTTAAGCCGGTCAAGAAGTCGCTGCCGTGTTGAGGCGAGGTGTTTCGAATCTCTTCCCCCGTTGCCGGCTTCGATCAGTTCATGAATGGCCGAAAAGACCGGAGAAAGTACGGTGAAGGCCGCACTGTGACGTGAAGCCGGTTCCAAGCGTCCGCTAATGACCGCAGTGGTCTGTCGATGAGGTTCGGTTGTAGCACTCCGCGAAGCTTTCCCGGCGAGCACATTCATTTCGGTACGTTTGTCGCGCCCAAGACGTGTGCCCTGACTCCGTTTTCCCCGCGTTGCGTTGGGGTTTGTCGGGGCGCGTGTTGAAACTGAGCGTAACCTTGCCCATTCTCGAAACTGCGGGTCTGAGCGGTGCGTCCGGGAAGCCTAGTTGGTAGTTTAGTGCGACGCCGGTGAGAACATTTCGAGCGTTCGGGAAAAGTGTAGTTGACTCCCAGCGATGAACAAATGTCACCGCTTTCTCACGTGTCGCACCTTTATGAAATTTTATTGCCGCTCTCGCAGCCGTAGCCTTTATCGAGAGTGAACTAGAACGCGTTTGAACTGCCTCGTTAAGTGCAGTCTGGGAACGCCAGTTTGGAACGCATTAAATCAAGATCCCACGCCCAGCGAGGCCAACTGCCTCGCTTGAAATGTTGTTGAGCTAATTGAATAACTTGTAAGTTTACAACTGGCTTGAAGTATAAGCAGTCATTGGAAGTAGCAATAAGCAGTTTCAGGCGAACCTGACCTCCTCATGTGCAGGGCAGCTACATTGTGGATGGGCAACACACTAATGCATTCGGTTACAGTAAACTTTAGCAGTGATCATTGCATGCGAGCGCAAGCAAAAACGTTTATGAAGTAGCTTCGTGAAATGAAACGTGTGACGAGTTGTGATGAGGTTCCCGGTGGTACAAGTTGCCATGAGTACAGAAAGCATAGAGCCGATATTGTACTTCACTTCTACATTCGTGGTGTTATGTATTCGTCTGATCCTGGTATAAATGTGAGTTTGCAGTGGTGATTACAGAAACTGCTATGCATTGATGGTAATGATTTGATTTCATCACGACTTGGCATTTGAAGGTTGCCTGCTCTGAAGTCCTCAATGAACACTTCGAAGAGGCCCTGCAGTGCTCTTTCAGTATGGTGAAAAAATGCTGCTTATTATTGGCAGTCAAGGCTCCTGAGAAAATGTGAGCCAGTCATTATAGGGCAGCATACAGCCTGAAATCTACAATTAATTTTAGGAAATCCTTCAGTCTTTTCTCTACAAACGATGCCATATACCCACATTTTTGTACCATATAGTAAATGTCCATGACCATTGACTGTATTAACATCTGAGGTGTATCAGTACTGTGGTGGCATGGGCTCTCACAATGATATTGAAAGTAAACCGCGCATTGGAGGAAAAAAGGAAAATGCTTTAGGTCATGACGTGCACTCACGAAGGGATGCATCATCTTGCCCCTTTGTCATCCCCCTCCCTGCTTAGCTTCAGCACGCTCACTGGTACGAGAGGAGACATTGTGTGAGGGGACGCTGAAGAGAAATAAGATTTATCTTATGTTGGGGAAATTGTTCGTTCACGATCTGGAAATCTTACCACTTGCTGCGAGAATGCCAGGAAAACAAGCAAAAAGGAATTGCTGGTGGCAACCCCACCCTGAAGTTTTTTTCGAAATGCTAGTCGCCATGATGGCATGGATTTTTGTCTACTGGCGGCCGCATAGTTCATAAGAAGGTCGTGAAACATTTTCTGAAAATTTTCAACTATGTGGGCATTCAGAATTTTGCCTGTTCATTCAGTAATACTATACCTCAACTTGTTTCATTGTCTGGGTTCACTTAATAGCTGTAAAAGCACGATTTCGATTCCCCAGCCCGCATTCCTCTCGACTCTACAGCTGGGGTTACTTTAAGTAGGCCAATGAAAAGTCTGTCTCATCAACAAAACATGGCGATGCAGCTACGTTTGCTGCATTGTTGATTTTCGTAGCATAATACCAGTTTGACTGCAACCACTGTAAAGAGGTGGTTTTCACTTTGATAAGCTGTGGCACTGAAGATACACATGCAATATTGGCATAGCGTGGACTAAGCCTCCCATAGCACACCGTAAAACACAACCTAGTGCAACCAGTAAGAAAAAACAGGGATGCTGCACAAAGCGTGCAATGTACTTGAAAGTGGAACTGAACAGGTTGCTGTACTTGCACAGTATGCAACAGAGTGCAAGAATTGCTGTGCTGTTTTAATGAGCTGTGTTATTTGAATTACTTGTTTAATGAAGCCATTAGACAGCTACTTGGAAAAGTGCCCCAATGCCCCTTTAATAATGCTGATTCCCAAAACTCATTTAGTGTGTTAAGAGACTACAGATAATTTTACATTCATACCGAATATTGTGAATGGTTTCTGTTTGCTGCTCAGTCTTGCTTCATGCTGAGATCACTGCTGGGTTTAGTGTAGCTACAGGCTTGTACGCACGGTATTGGTTCTAGACATACTATCCTTGCTAAGGTGAAAATTCTAGGCATGGTGTCATTGCTATAAATTGCATAGAATAATTCTCCTCAAAAAGGTCGTGCAACACTTTCACGGTGTTAAAAAAAAAAAGACGCTGCTGTTCGGTAGTTAAGGCTCCCGAGAACACGCAAGCCAATCATTGTGGCGCAGCACGCATTCCCGAATTCACAGCTATTTCACAATGTCTTCTAAATATTGTTCCCTCTTTTGCCTACAAATGATGCCATATACCCCAATGACTTTGCCATGTACCCAAATTCGCGACCTTTGCCTGATTTGAGCATCATCAGCGGCATAGTTACCGAAGCTATTGTGTTTCTGCGCGTTTCAGGAAAAAAAAAAAAGCCCATGGTCATGTACGCATGTGATGTAATTTTCTTCCCCTGTGCCATCCCCACCTGCTTAGCTTCCAGTGCATTCATGGGAGTGAGAAAATAGAGAAAGAAATTACAGCGTGCATTAAATCTCTTAACTGTGCCCGTACTTCACTGAATCTAAACATTTTTACGGCGGTAGATTCGTGCAACAATTAACACAGTAATGAAGCCATTCTATAGGTACTTGTAGAAGTGTTGTAGGGCCCTTTTGAAGTGTATGCAACGAATAACTAATATGAAGCATTTACAGAACGACACTCAGACAAAAATAAGTTGTGAAAATTGGGAAACTGTGGCAGCTCGCGTTTGATATTTGCAAAAATTGTCTGCCAATTTTTTTCGGGCATAACTAGGGCAGGCTTGTAGGGTAGGGCAGGCTTGTAGGGTAGTTCAGTGCATATGGAACATTTGGCAGGTTAAATGGCATTTAATAGGCATTTAATATTACTTGATCTTTCTCTGCACACAATCAAGAAACCTTGTGGAATGCTTGTTTGCATCGGTAACAGTGTTCTTGCTGTTATTGTAAGAGGCCTGCATGCGTTGATTAATAAGATGTTTCACAAAAAAAACCTTGTGTAGACGGCTTGCAGTAAAGTGTATGTTACAACTGCGATCTATATAAAGGGCCGTGGGGGGTTCTGAAAATAAACTTGACCTGATGACCTGCCATTCTGTTTGTTTATATATAAAGTCATTATAGAGCTTGCTGTGAGAAGAGCACTTGAGAATAGCTTTCATTGTTTGTTTCACAGTTATTACACCAGAAGGGATGTGCGATGTTTATACCTTTGTTACATTGCCAGCTTAACAGCAGTTTAACTTGAAAGTGTTTGCAATAAGCACCAGTCAAAATCTTGTGTTAAATGTCCTGTTCATGTATAAGGTATGTTACCACTGCCGAAAAAAATAACTTTACAAGTTTTAGTCTGAAAGTTGAAGTGTTATTTTAGTATGTTAAAAATAATGTATTTAGAATAAGATTAACAGATTTTCTAATTGTATTTTATGTACATACCGTAATTGGTTTGTTTGTACAGACCGTAATTGATCTGTTTGTACAGAGTGCAATAAGCTGTAAGCTGAAAAGAATTCTAACGGGAAAACTGAAAGAGGCTATTTCTTTCTGCTGCAATCAGCTTTCGCACTATTGCCCTAAGTGTAGAAACTTGGGGAGCCGTTCTCACTTATCCTGTTACATTGCTGGGGTGATCGTATAAGTAAATAACAAGCCAAACTTCATGCATAAATATTTATGCAAGGGAGTTAGTTCTCACTGCTCGCATAACTCTAGATATATAAAGAAAAGGTTAAGAGATCATTATTTTCAGAGATATTAATGTACAGCTAAGGTAATGGAAAAACATGCACTACATCTGAACTTTTATCACATTCATAGCTTGGGCCTTCAAAAAAAAAAAACGTGGATTCTTTTTTTGCATGTGCAGGAGTGCATTATTATTATAATTATTATTATTATTATTTTCTTGCTTGTTTAGTGCACCAGTTAGGCTAAATGCACAGAATTCTTGTAACGATCTAGGAGCATTCATTTGTCTGGTAGCCAAATTTGAGGGCTTACTGTGGCGCACTTATCTTACTCTTACTGTGGCGCACTTACTGTGGCGCACATCTTACTGTGGCGCACTTATCTTGTGCATGTGCACCTTAATTTCTCTAAGTAGGGTGCTGCTGTTGATAATACTGTTGTTTCATACGTTGCCATACAATGAGCTTTCACTCTCACGCAAATCGTCAACCTGGCAGCATTTGCTAAACAATCTGGAACAAAACTGTTAATCCAGTTGTACAAGAAAAAAAAAAATGTTTAACGGTAGTGGAGATGTAGGTGCACCGTGAGCAAGTTTCAGATTGGAATTCATTCTGGAATAAGTTTTACTTGAATACAACAAAAGTGGTCTTAACTATTTCTGCTATAGTGCAAAAAAAGAAATATTTAGCAGAAAATAAGTATTCTGGAATAAGTTTTACTTGAATACAACAAAAGTGGTCTTAACTATTTCTGCTATAGTGCAAAAAAAAATATTTAGCAGAAAATAAGTAAATAACAGTACAGTTGTAATACAAACACTAGAAGAAGACGCTAACCATGCAGAGGTACATGGAAGTGAGTGTCTTGAAACCAGCATTGTGGCGATGTAACTCATCTTTGTCGGGGTTACAGTTGCTGCACGTTGAAGACAAGTTCATTAGCCGAAACATCAGCTCCAGTGACATGCTTCATTAGATTATTTCACACGATTGCAGTTGTAGGCATGTTTTCATGCTTTGTTCAAACCCTGTTGTGACGCAGATGTTGCTTTTGCCAAGATGTGGGCTCTTTGTCATATTACCCCATTGCACTGCCAGTCTCGTGACATGCGAATTTTGGGTTTTCTGTCTCCCTTCTCTGCAGAAACTTGAGGAGTTGAACAAGTACCCCGACTTCAACAACTACCTCATATTTGTCCTCACAAAGTTGAAATCTGAGGGTGAGTTGGCAGATTTCTGATCTCGCGTTTTTTTTTGTTTACATTTGTGGTGCTAAACCTTTACCACCTTCCGTCTGTTTTGGTCCGAATTGAAAAGACTCAAACCTCAAGAAAAAGTAGTTTACTTACTCTTTTACGCATAGTGCATAATATAGTTGAAAAATTCCTGTGAATCAACTTAAAAAAAAAAAAAAAAAACTTGTCCAGCACTGCCTTACCACGGACTGCGGTGACCATGTTGCATCATTCGGCCCCGCCTGACAACTGGCAGCAAAGGGTTAATGGTTTATTAACTTTACACTTAGTTTCATGGAAATGGAGCTCTTCACGAATTCAAGTGAAGTCAGCAAGTTCTCTGAAGAAGATGTTGATTCGGCATTGCCCTCTGGGATGAGTAGGCACAAATGCTGTGCTCTAGCCATGATAACAATTAAGTGTTTAACTCAGCCTCCTTGTGAGACTCTCTGCAACTTGTTTTGTTTAATTGGGATATCTCAAAAGGAGGATGTTTTGAACTAGAAGTGCTTGAACAGTGAAGTTTCTAGATTAGATGCTGAATATTTTTCACACTTTAAAAACCTAATCTAAAGACGAAATCTGATAAGAACATCCCAACTTAGTAGTAGTGTTTAGAAAGATGCCTGTTGTTTCATCTTAGCAGCTCGTAAACAAATAGCACTTTGATATGATTACATTGTTTTGTTTACTGTATCTACCAGTGCTTGCCCATTCTATTTGTGGATATAATATTGACTCATTAGGAAGCAGTTTTTGAGATAGAGTGGTTTTTAAAAATTAATTAGGGGGCATTTTATGTCCCAAAACCACAACATGATAATGAGGGAAACCTTAATGGAGGGCTTTAGAAATTTCGACTGCCACAGTTTTTTTTAACGTGCTCCTAAATCTTAAGTCAGTTGGCCCTAGCATTTCGCCTCCCATCAAAGTGCAGCTGCGGCGGCTGAGATTCGATCCTGCAACATTCGGGTCTGCAGTCGAGCGCCATAACCGCTATACCGTCGTGGCCGGTGTTTGCAAAAGTCAAGAATTCAATGTAGCTTGCTACACTGTTTCTTCATTGGACACTTCGGTGTTGTGCAGATGAGCCAACCAGGTCCCTGAGCGGTCTGATCTTGAAGAACAACGTGAAGGCCCACTTTGACAAGTTCCCGCGAGAGGTTGGCGACTTCATTAAGGCAGAATGCCTGGAGAGCGTGGGCGACCACTCGCCCCTCATCCGTGCCACAGTTGGCATCCTCATCACCACCATCGCCTCCAAAGGCGAGCTCACCCAGTGGCCCGAACTACTGCCCCGCCTGTGCCAGCTGCTCGACTCCGAGGACTACAATGTCTGCGAGGTGGGCTTGCTCGCATTACAACCGCTGTTGCAGGCAGCTTTGTAGGCTGTGATCGAAATGAAGGGAGCTGTGCGGATTAGAGAGCAGATAGAGTTAGCAGAGATTCTCGTGGCCCTAAAAAGAAAGAGTGGACCTAGGCAGCTAATGCAGTGCATAAAATGGATGTCTGGCAGTCACTGAGGGTAATGGAATGGGCTTTGCCACGCATGCTTAATCCTCTATTTGTTATCATTATTTTTTTAATTGCAACATACTTGTTTTTTAAGGCATAATATTTTTGCGAGTATGTTTGTTAAATGTGCGCCGTTAGGCCGGTGTTGTGTATGAAGTAATGTCTTGTGGAATGTGTTGTCATGTATCCAGCATTTGTAACTGGCTGTGTCGCTGTAGAGAAGGCAGGCTTTAAGGAGGTGACGGGAGCAATCTGGCTGCTGCCCTTTACATGTTCATATAAAGTGGTATGCATCTGCTTGCATCGCTGAAGTGGGACAATACGAAAACACATCACCAACTCGTAAATGTGTTCAATTCCATGATAACATAACGGCCAGTGTAAGGGTGTTCGTAGGCCACCTCTGCCCAAAGCTTCCTAAGCACAACTTCCTCCACCCTAGTAAAGTGAGGGGTAAGAGAGCAGACACACGGTGGAATGAAGCGCGTGTATCCTGCCGGAGAACATTTTTACCGGTATGGAGTAAGTTTAGGGGCTGAGGTGGAAGGGGAATGTGCTGGAAGGTCAATGTCTGGAGGGCAGTGCGTCTGCTGGTCAGCAGCAATGTTGTGTGGGTTCGCAGCATGGCCTTGAAACCAGTGTACCTTTATGCAAGTAGCTGTATTATGGTTCAGCTTATGAATCACCTGGCAGATCTCCATCACCTTGTGTACTTTCTTGAGCTCCTTAATAGCTCCTAACGAATCAGTGTATACATCAGTCTGCTTAATTGTAGGCAGCTTAGAAGGTGGCATCTTGGATTGTATCATGTATGGCTTGAAGTTCCATCACAAGAGGAGTGGCCTCCGCAGATGGATAACACTGGTGGCCACTGACAAAATTATGCGTAGTACTCGGGAATGATGTCCTACTGCCGTCTTGTAGGATAGCAGCATCTGTGTATAGTTTGCAGGTATTTGCATGGGGCCTCGATGATGGAGCGTTCGTCAGTTGTAGATGATTTATCGGAGCGCCGTAACTTTGTTGTCTTATTAGATGTGATGGTGATCAATTTCCAGGGAAGCATAGCCTCGGGCTGGTTGTCAATGCGAGAGCCACGTTGAAAGTCAGCATGCAACGCAGCAACAACTGGCACAAGTTGCCTTTTGATTTCACGAGCTTTTGTGCGTGAGTGTGTGTGTAAATTTGAGTGATTAGGTTTCACCCCATAAAAATACCACCACTCGTCATAAAACACAGCGCAATGTTTAGGAACTTCACGATTGTTTCGGACTGTTTCGTAATGATTTCGTGCAAACCACGAGCAGTTGAGTTTATTTTAGGTCTAGCATTGGGAGGGGGGGGCACCAGCGGCAATGCTGGAAGGTTCACTTAGCATAAAAGTCGACACAATTCCCAGATGGGCAGATTACAAACATAAAGTGGGGTGGTGATATTAAAACGTTCGTAGGCACAAACTGGAATTGGCTTAAGACTGAGTAAATGAGAGCTTGTTAGGACATGCCTTCATTTTACAAACAGTTGACGTAGGTTTGGCTGATGGTGGTGATTAGTGTTTGGTGTCGATTAGCTTTGCCAATGTGGCGTTGCTGAATGTGAAGAAAGAATTATACACCAGCTTATGATCGCAGCCCTGATAAGCTGAAAAGAAAATAGATGAAACTACTACAGAGTGCATAGTACAGCGGAGAACTTGCATGCATAAAACTAATTGGGGGAACAAGTCCCTGTAAGGTAATATTGTGGTGCATGAAATATTGTCTATTAAGGGCTGAGAGGTTCCCTTGAGTCATCATGTCATGTTAATAGCATTGATTTGATCAATTGTTTCTACATGATTTATGTTATATTAGTTCAAGTGAGGTTTTAAGCTTTCACTTAAGTGGAACCTTTCTTATATGACTTACAGAGGACCACGCAAAGCCGTTCCATAATCCGGGCATTGTATAAATGAAAAAAAAAAGAAAACTATCGGTCATATTTTGCACTCAGGAAAATTTGGACGACGCCCGATTCGAGTAATAGTGGTTTTTGTTTCTCTAGGACAGAATGTGAAAGTCTTCGTAAGGTGTGGGGTCGGCATAAAACTATGTCGTATAACAAGGTTTTAATAAATTTCTTCTATGGGAATATCGCCGGTACCAATCAAACCAATTCGTCGTAAGAAGCGGGTCGTTGGGTTACATGGGACATATAATTGAAGTTATACTCTATTTATTGCTTTAGTATGTGATAGTGCGCCAAGTTGAAAACTTCGTTAACTCTGTCAAAGTTGTTCGAAACACTGTTGTGAACTGTTCGAAGCTCAAACGAATTGAGGGCTCATGAATACTGTCACAGCTAGTAGCACCAACACAGTTTTCTGTGAGCTTAGTTTGTTTTTGCCGGATCAGTCAATGGTGCAGTGAATTTCCCTTGGAATTTGTCTGTGCTGCCTCACGTCATTCGTTCTTGTCTTGATTAATGCAGGGTTCTTTCGGAGCCCTGCAGAAGATCTGCGAGGATTCGGCCGAGATGCTGGACACAGATGCATTGAACCGGCCCCTCAACGTGCTGGTGCCGAAGTTCCTCCAGTTCTTCCGGCACACCAGCCCTCGGATCCGGTCACACGCCATCGCCTGCATCAACCAGTTCATTGTCAACCGCACACAGGCCCTGATGCTCCACATTGACTCCTTTATCGAGGTGTGTTCTGCTGCTTCCTGTGGAAGCTTTCTTTGGTAGACATCATTCGTCGTTGTTTTTGTAAAGCTTCTTTTCGTGGGACGTGGTTACACAAGTCGATTCCGACGACTTTAAAAGGCAAGGTGGGACAAAGAAGAGATTGCATTAAGCTAGCCGGAGCAGCTGTTGGTCGTTTTCGCCGTTAACGGACACAGAAGGCGACATACTTAGCGACGGCTGAAGAAAGGCCCGGCCATAAATGACGACTTCATACCTTGTCATAAGTCTTGTGATAGCCTAGATGACCGGCGGTTGGATCATCATGAAAATCCGGTTGGATCATCATGAAAATCTTCTAGAACTTCAAGTTGCAGAGAATGTGGGATGACGGATACCCACTTGTTGCCATCGATGTGGTAAATGTAGCAGTATAAAGCGTCACTGAGTAGCTTAAATTGTTTAAGTTGTTGACAAAGTCAGGCGTTTGGAGGAGTAGTAGAGCCGGTCATGCGGTCAACAATGGTGCGGCAGTATGGATCGACATGCTGTTGTGAAACAAGCACGGACTTGGTGCCGGGTGATAAACTTAGTGCTGTGATTGGAGCGGTAGTGCCGTTTTGGAGTAGCGATGGTGAGTGGCCTCCGCTGTGGCAAAGGACAGCGCGATAGAGCATCGGCATCTTGATGCTTCTCCCCAGATCTGTAGGCGACATTGAAATCGTACTGCTGCAAGCGAAGCACCCAACGACTGAGGCGACGCAATAATTTTTTAAGTAATGAAAGCCAGCATAGGGCGCTATGGTTGGTAACGACGGTAAAGTGACCGTCTGAGGAGATATGGTCGAAATCTTTGCACTGCCGAAACAACAGCAAGGCACTCCTGCTAGTTAACCTCCCTACCTTCGTTTTTTTCTTTTTCTTCTCTCTCTCTCTGTCTCTCTAGTCTTTAAGTTATAGATTTTGTTGAACAAGTAATGTGGCTGGACCCGACATTTTGACTGCAAAACATTGGGTCAGGCGACATTACTTGTTGAACAAAATCTATAACTTGGACATTTTTTTTTACAAAATGTATCACATTTTTTATCTATGCTGATTCCACTGTATTGCTTGATAACTTAGGTTAAATTTCTTCATGAACCAAGTTCAACGACCCCACTCAAGTTACACTGGTTTTCTGCTAGCTGTGAGGACTCTTAGAAACGGTAAAAAATCATTTTGAAATTTTTACTTTCATCAAAGTCAACATGCATAGCGAGGTAGTTCCTTCAGAAGTGCTACGAAGGAACTTTAGACTACAAAAATGCTTAATTTATCATTAGTTCGGTATTTGCGGTCTCCTCTTTCTTGATAGTGCACAGAAAAGACAGAAGTATGTCGCGTCTTCAAATGGGAACATCGTGTCACCAAGGTATAACAAATGCAATGTAGTACCTGACTTGGTGCAAAAAATTTAACTTTTTTACTGGCCCTTCTGGTTTTGTAACTTTGTGCCTTGTCTTTTGAATGAATTCATTCTTTCTTTATCTTTTTCTACGATAGAACTTGTTCCACCTCGCCTCGGACGAAGACTCTGAAGTCCGCAAGAATGTGTGCCGTGCTCTAGTCATGCTTTTGGAGGTTCGCATGGACCGTCTCATTCCCCATATACACAACATCATCGAGGTAAATATTGGTCCGCCAATCTCTCAACCTGCTTCTGGATGTCCTTAGGTGACTCTTCGTAGACAAATATACTGTATTTTCTTGCGTGTAACCTGCATGAAAGAAAGCTTTGTATATTTGGAGCCAACTGGAAGAAAAAAAAATGCAAATTCTGGTCTTTCAAAGGTGCCTTCATGACATTGCTTCACGGCTGGGCAATGAAGCTAGCTCTGCAGGAAAATGTAAGGATCCTTTTTAAAATGTGTTTCACAAATTGTTTTATAGGGTGTGGGTTTTACGTGAGAAGATAGGGTATGCTGGCTCTTGTTTCAGCTGGCACACAGTGATGACACAGATGTCTTCGATGCCAACATGACGGCCTTGGAACGAATCGTACTGTCTGATGGTGTGCCGGATTTATGTGGCAGTGAATGCTGGGTCTTTATCGAATGATTAAACGTGTTACAGTATCACCTCATTTTACAGACCTCCATAATGAAGACAATTTCGGTCTGGTGTAAAAGTACGTAAAATCCAAACAGACTTTTATGTTAACACTGACTCGGTCTGCTATAACCAGTGAGAGTAAGAGTCATATACAGATTTATTCGCAATAGGACATAAAAAAACACGATTTTTTTAAAATCGCATTTTCGGTTTCTGTAGCCCTTTTTCTTTCTTATTCCGAAATATGTTCACTGAAAACTACGTAGATGTGCTGTAAAAAGTTTTTGCACCTGCCGAGGTGGCAAAAATTATTGTGGAAATCATTTAAAAAAAGCATTTTTTTTTCTAAATTTTATATTTTCGCAATGGCAGAACTGCCCACCACCATTTTGGGCTCGTAAAAGTATTTCGTAAAGAGCATTCTGTGTTCGAAACATGGTTCAAAAAACAGACCTCTGAAATTCATTTCGAGGCCTCTGATTGGCTGCTTCTACAGTGTTCTAGTACGCCTTGCTGGTCCAATGCTTGTTCCGGGATATGCATCTGGGATATCATTGTCTGCTTCTTTTGCGTTGTGAGGTCGTGGCTGTCTAAAATTTCGCTACTTAGTGACATATCACTCGTTCTCTTTTCATGGGTCGGCAATAATTTAGGGTACAATTATGCCTTATTTAAAGGGGGAAGATACTATCAAATGCCAACTTCTTTCTTCATTGAGATATCTGAAAGAAATTTTCAGGGCATTCTCTAAACAAAAGCATCGAAACTACTACAGTAGAGTCTGGATTATTCGAACTCGAAGGGGCCCAAAAATTTTTTCGAATTAATGAAAACTAAATGAACGGAGGGCTCACCATGCAGTGGCGCATGTGCATTGAGCTAACACACGGGGGGAAGTTTCAGAAGACTTACATTCATTTACAAATCACAGGACATCGTCATTATTTGAAGCAATTGGTGATGCACGTCTGCACACGTTTGTCTTGCAGCGAGTCAATTTCGCACGCAGCTTGCAAAACATTTCTACTTCGCCTTCAGCATTCTCCTGGCAAAAGAAGTTGCGCGCGGCAATGTTCAGCGCCGACACTCTCCAAAGACAATGACAACAACGACTGCGTCTCCGCTATGCAGCCGCAGCGTGGCCAGCACGTGACGAGAAAGGAGGAGCATCTCCACGTGGGAAGAAGCAGATCGGCATTTGAGAAACAATACTCTACGGCAGTTTTTTTTTTCTCTCTCTTTCTCTTCGCTCGCGTCGTTGAAAGAAGGTGTACGTGGCAGTGGGCAGGCACGGGAAAGGGGGGAGGCGTGGCACCAATGTGTGACGTCCCCGCAAACGTGAACTGGAACCCGGGTCTTTCAAGATGTTTACGTCCATTACCCACGCCACGACAAAAAGAAAAACGCCTGGGGTAACGAATGCGCATTTCGGAGTGGAGTTCCTGGGAAAAGTTCTGGCGGCGGTTTAGTGGTCCCACCGCGCAAACACCAGGACCGTGTGGCGGCTTCTTGTCTACGAACACTACAGTGGCGATGCACAAAGCGCGCCCTTCCGATTTATGGCATGAGGGCAGCGGAGCACCTTTTGTTTTGGTTCTGTACATGCGACTCAGCTGCAGCGCGTGTGCCAGGCCAGGCCTGACCTCACATTTCGTCAGCCTCCGCGGCTTCCAGGCTCATTACTGCGTTCTGCCCGGATGACCATCTGCGGCATTGAAGGACGAAGTGGCGACGATTGCAAAGAATTGTGCGGGAGACACCGGGTTGGTGGGGTTGAAACTCGATCTGGTCGTCGGGCACCGGAAACTGGGGACTTTTCAGAGCAGCACTCTAAACTCCGCACGTCTGCCATTACAGATGGCGTGCTATGTCTGAGGGTTAGGACTCCTGGTCGCCCATAATTCACGTGTCATCAAACAGCTCGCCGTTTCGGAGTTCGTACATTATTTGTTTTACTTTGCTTGAGAAAAAGCTTTCTGCTGGTGTGAGCTGCGGGGGTGGTCGTCGAGGCTGGCGCACACCGACTGACAGAGAAATATGTCGCATTAACAGTGGCAATTGGTTAGGTGCCACGGAGGGGCGGAGTCGGGTCCTATGAAAAGGGACTGCGATCGAAGAGATGGTGCAATGAGATCGAGATGGTGGAAAGGCGGAATGAAAAAAGAAGATACTGCGGTGCGATAAGATAGCGATGAGAGTCGATGAGATGATGACTGGGGCAAAGACAGCAAGATGATGGAAATTTAGGAATAGGAGACAAGGAAGCGAGCGATTGGGACATTGTGAAAGAGGCTAAGATGGAAGTGACTGTGACAGACGATGAAGGTGACAATGACGAAGACGATGAAGACCTTGACGAATTGGACAGTGACCCCTGGAGGAAGTGAGCCCAGACTCGAACAGCCAGCTCCGAGGCCCCTGAGAACATGCACTTTTCATGAGATGAACTTCCTGTATTTTATTCAGATGAGCTTTGCAGGAAGGGAGGCAGCACGTTGAGACATGGTGTGGTTTTGTTAATTGGTGACTTCATCATTTGTGTTGTCGCGTGTTTCCTTCATATTGTCATACTCTTGTTTGTTGCCGTTACTTTGCTCATGTATCCTGTGTCGCACGTCGCAAGTGTTTTTTTTCATGTGTTATTAATTTGGTGCAGCAGATTTGTTGTATGCGGGCAGCATGTGTGATTGCCGTTTGCTATTGGTGGTAAATTAAATGCATCATTAATTAATTAAGTGCGAAAATGTCGTAGCGTCTCTTACTTCCCGACCCCAGCACGAATCCCTGCGTGTGGAAGAACTGGTTGAGACTCATAGCCAAGAGGGAACTGAGAAAAGGGGTTGAGTGGTCTTCCCTTTCTTTGGCGGTCGGCGGTGTAGTGGGGACGTCTCAGGCGCACGAGAGAGAGCCAACACTCCGCGGCAGCTTTTTTTTCCTCTCTCTTTGCGCACGGCTTTGAGAGGAGAAGGGTCTTTACTTGCAGAGACGGGAAAGGGAGAAGTGTCGTCGCAGATCGGCATTTGAGAGAGAGCAAACATTCCACCGCAGCCTTTCCTTTCCTTTTCTTTTCCTTTGCGCGCAGCGTTGAGGTGTTGGGGTTGCCGCCGTGGGATTGGGCATGGTGCTGAGAGCATTTTCGGAGCGCGGTATGTTCGAAATAATCGTCGCAAGTGCTTGCGCGTTCCAATTACAGGATGCTTTTGCTCATTGGAATATGCATAGATCTGACGGGACCTCAGCGCGAGTTTAAATTAACCGGAAGTTCGAATTAAGCGTGTTCGCATTGATGAGATTCGACTGTACAAAATTTTTTGATGTTATGCTCGCTGGTCATATGTAATGGCGGTATGTTAGAATAGTGCACATGGTTCCCTTAATCCATGCCTGGAGAACTTTCAAAAGGTGCTGGAACTGTGAAATTAACTATTGTTTTTCCCAGATTGATACCTCCAGGCGTGACAGGGTTTTTTTTTTTTTTTTTTTGAATTTGCTTGTCAAATAGCTTTAGCAGACTTAATGAGTGCCTATCATTGCGCACCAAGGGGAAAGCAGCAGATGCGCTTTTCCGTTTCGGCCAATGGCGAAGCGTGTCGAAGCAACATGGCGGACGCGGCCAATCGGAGGCCTTGTGATGACCTTCAGACAATTGCTTTTTGCACGCTTGTTTTTAAAGAAAGGAGCCAGCTGAGGCGCGAATTTTCAGCATGGAAAAACGCTCTTTTCTACAAGCTAAAAGCAATGGCACTCGGTTGCGCCGTTGCGGAGCTACGATTTCTTTTTTTAATTTGGTTAATATTTGTGGTAATTCTCGCCACTTTGGCTAGTGCAACAAATATTTAGAAGCACTTCTAGGTGGTTTTCAGTTAAGATGTTTAGGAATTTGAGAGGGCGTCAGAAAATGAAGATTCAATTTTTAGAAATGAAATTTTTATTATTTGAGATATTTCAAGGAAATTAGGTGTGTATGTGTTTCTTCCTCCTGTTTTTTAAAATGTATTTAGTTTTATTGTACCTCAAGTATTTTGCAATTTATGATAAAACAAATGAAGTCTAATTAGGTCATTTCTTACGGGTGATCAAGGCACTTTTCCTCGATATCTTTTGGTTCAGTTTAAGATGCAGCTGTAGCCAAAGATCCGCCATGTAGAGCTACGCTATTTATATTGATGCTTGATATCCATCATCATATGAAAATTTTTAATTGTATTGATGCTCCATAATTTTGAAATGTAATTCACTCGCTTTATTGTTCACAAAATTAACCTTAAAAAATAGCATTACTCCACAGTTTGATTCCTTACGAGTTTAACAGTATAACATTTATTAAAATTGGCTAACAAAAACGTAATGAAAAGTTCCGTAAGGCTAGTCAGGCTGGCAAAAAATGTGAAACTGAGAAAATGGCATGTGAAGTATTGGCACTCGCTGCAAAAATTTTTATAAGGAATATTCCACAATAAATTTTATTTAGATGTTTTCTATCTATTCCCCTGCTAAACTAAACAGAAAGTGACTTATTTCATCCAAGGAATCGTTAAAAAAAATTCCATGTGGAAAGCAAGATCTGAGCCCCAGCATGGCAAGTGGTTGAAGGGGAGGGGGCTCCTGAAAAGATCATGGTGTACGAGACTAAAGCCACTGCTTCCTTGTAAAATTAATGAGAACGCAATTCGCAATAAATAACTGCGAAATCAAGCGGACGCACCTTCACCCTTCACTCAATCGCCTTCGTAACCGGAGCTTTTTGTTCTACTGGCTCGTGTCAGTTTTTTTTCTTCTTCCACGACGACAAAACTTTACGCACAAACTCAATTACATTGTAGCGGGTTTCGACTCTTTCTCGATTCCTTGCTACAGTGGCTGCATTTTTATGTGGGCACAGTGCAGAAATGCTTATGTACTTAGATGTACTTGTGTACTTTGTACTTATGTGTGCTTATGTGTGCTTATGTACATGTGTACATTGTAATCGGGTTTAGGATTTCTACTACAAATGATCCCGATTCTTCTGCAAGTATCAGAGAAGTGGAATGAAATAGTCCAGGTATGCAGATAAGCTAAGCTGGCCGCTCTCGAGTGTTGAATACCACTCTTCAGAAGGAACCCTCATTGTAAGTATTCGTGTCTTTTTTGCTCTCTCCTCTGTGAACAGTACATGCTGATGCGCACACAAGATACGGATGAAGGGGTTGCGCTAGAGGCGTGCGAGTTTTGGCTGTCGCTGGCTGAGCAGCCCATCTGTCGAGAGGTGCTGGCGCCGCACCTGTCGCGCCTCGTGCCCATCCTTGTCCGGGGAATGAAGTACTCGGAGATTGACATCATCCTGCTCAAGGTGAGACTCGCCTACTCGATCTGAAACACCTGTCGCCTCTCTTGAATTTCTCTTAAAAGCTTGCGAATCTGGGACGGCTTAGCATTTTGTAAATGGGGTGTCAGGTTATAGGGAAAGTCCAATAACTTTCGTTCATCAGGCTCCAAATCTTCATAGAACTTTCATCATAAAAAATGAAATTTCTGGGCTAAGTCAAATTTAGCCTTCTAAAATGCAATTCATTAATATTATTATTAATAAAGTACTTTTTGAGATAATTCATTACGAAAAGTCGATATGCCCAACTTTTCTACTGTTTTATAGTATTGAATTTCTTAGAAAAATTCAAATGGGCATGTTTTAGAACAGATGAAAATCTAGAACAGATGAAACTAGACCATAGCTGTAACTTTAGCTCTTTTCATATAAAGGTTATTGCCATCTGTGACAATGGTGGTTTGGAACCCAAGAATTTTTGTCAAAATACTGTCTTGTTGGACATGTTTTTTTTTTATGCTCTATTGTGTGCAGATGCTCATGAGCTTTCATTTGCAAAAATAATCAATGAAATCAATCGGTATCTTCCAGTGAAGATTTACAGTGACTCACAAGTCACGGGACCGAATCCCGGCTGCGGCGCAGCATTTCAGATTGAGGCGGAAATGTTGTAGGCCTATGTGCTCATATTTGGATGCAATTCAAAGAACCCCAGGTAGTCTAAATTTCCGGAGCCCTCCACTACGGCGTCTCTCATAATCATTTGGTGGTTTTGGGACGCGGAACCCCACATATCAAAGATTTACAGTGAGCGAATCTTGCTAGCAGTGAAGTGTTATAAGTAAGTTTAGTTGGCAAAGTTTTGATTATCGATCTCCATACCCTCTCCTGTTATTCCAATGATGGTGAAAGAATGCCAGGTACACTTGCTTTGAGGAAGCGTTTGCGGAAAAGTTCCCGAACCTAGCTAAACCAGCTGTTTTAAATCTCGGGTGAACATTATCATCACCATCATCATCAGCCTGACTTCTGCACTGCAGGACAAAGGCCTCTCCTTAGGTCAGATTTATGCCCACATGCATGATGACACAAACATTATTTGATGCCAAAATGATGGCTCTAATGAATCGTACTGTCTGAAATGTGGGGCAGAACTCTTCAGGAATAGATGGAAGAAAGCAAATGCCGTTTCACTTACCAAGTGCTTTTTTTTTTTTTCCTCTTCCTTCTTTCTGTTGGCTCGTTTCTGCAGGGAGACGTGGAAGAGGACGAGATGATTCCCGATCGTGAAGAAGACATCCGACCCAGGTTTCACAAGTCCAAAACGCACAGTCAAAAGCACATGGACGATAACATCGATGTGAGTGAATCCTTTCTCTGTCGGTCTCTTCCTGTGCATATGGGATTGCTGCCTAGTAGATCTTGTCATAGTCGCCGTGGGACTTTCTGGACTCCAAAAATTTGTACTTTTTGGATGTTTTGAACTTCATAAGTGCACCGTCAAGGTTCCCAGTGCATAAATGACTCGCGACCAATTTTTCGGACAAATTTGTGCCCTAATGTTTGATTTTTCGGACTAAATCGCTCGTTTCGAGCCATGCTGCTTGATTTTGAGAGCGGCCATGTTGGACTTTCCACTGGCTGGCTCAAGTTTGGCATCCTGTGGCCAGTCTTGATGCCTTCAAAATTGGGAGCACACACGATCTTCCTGTTTTGTAGACTGTATTCGATCTTCCTTGACCTGCAAAATGTTTTAGAGATGCGTATTTTCTTTTTCAGCCTGCCCCATTGCCATGCTGGTGGGTTGTGTGTGTGTGTGTGCACGCACACGCGCTTTGCCTGCAGGAATATGAGGCATCCTATATTGGATGATCAGTGCTTTTCTTTTTTTTCTAAATCATTTAATTCGTTATTTTCTCTCTTGTGTCATACATGTTCATTTCTTATCTCCGCTGTCCTTTTCTACCTTAGGTAATAATCTCTGTCTAAACATTGCTGATCTTCTTGATCTATTTTCTTTAGGAGGACTCTGTGTCAGATGACGGCCTTGATGATGACAACACGCTATCTGACTGGAACCTGCGTGAGTGTAGTGCCACAGGCATTTTCATGGCCACTGTCGAAGACATGCTGTAAACAGTCATCTTAGTTAACAGTGCAAAAGGACAGACAAAATAGGGTACTGTTAGCCATGAACTTGATCCAGCTCACCAATATTTTATCTCTTAGATGTGATTGTCATCAAATGTTATTCCCTGGTTCTTACGGCAGTATTTCTCTGCCGACAAGGTTGGCACAGGGGTATGTGTGTGCTTGGTCGCAATTTTGACACTCCCATGAACAATATGATTCTTATTGAATTGGCGTCCAAATTTATTGCGCACTGAAGTATTTTGTACTCCTTTTGCATTCTTTTGTGTGCTTAGTGGCAGCCGCATTTTAAAGAGGCCAAAAAGGAAAAAAAAAAAACCTATATTCTGAGGGGGTTCGTAGTAGCATATGTGTGTTTGGCAGATAGGTCGCATTTAGGTTTAACAGCCGCTGAGCGGTAGGTGGTGCAGTGCAAGTTTGTAAAAGTAGTTGAATAAATGTAAACGGTTTTTCGCTTTGCCCACCGTGTCTGCTGTCTCCGTGTGTTCAGAGAGGGGCGTTCTCCTTTCGAGACTTGACAGTGTGTAAATTTGAATACATATTAAACCCCAAGTGACTGAAATGAAAATGGGGTGTTGGCCAGGGGGCTTTTTATGTACAGCCTAATGAAACCATCAGCCAAGCAAACTATAGGGACAACACGCGTTGTCAACTGCAAATATAAATGTAGAAAAATTATACAGGACGACAAGACAACTTGCCGCCAGCAGGCACTGAACCCACAACCTTCAGACAATTCGTCTGATGCTCTAGCAATTGAGCTACAGTGGTAGTCGCCCTCTCTTCCACTTTATTGGACAGCAATACCCAATAATGTGTACCTGATGTGCTCCATATTATTGGGTTAAAATACCCATTAAAGTGAGCAGGACGATCCCAGCTGTAGTTCAATGAACCGTTTTAATAATTGGGAAGCAAGCTTTTACGCTGCAGTGAAATCTCGGTAAAGCGAAGTTCAGGGAGCCATGGCAATTCGTTTGTTATTTTGAAAGGCCGTTATAGTGAAAGCCCAAAAGTTAACCATAAATACAGATTTTCTATGGACCAAAATGACTTAACGGTGGGTCCTCAAACTCGTTTTTCGCGAGAAAAAACAAATGCACCAGTGAACACTAAAAAATGCACGTTTACCAGCTCATTTACATTCCTGTGGTCCGATCCATTTTCTCGCTGAGCGAAAACTGCTTCCGCCTTTTCGTCAGAAGCAGAGATGAACTCATTGTAGTAGCACTGCAGCGCGAACGCCGACTTGTTTTGCGGATGCGATAAGTAATCACCGAAAGAAGATGAATTTGACTGACAAGGCCACTTGGAGCCCATGTAGAAGTGACAAAGATAAGAAAAACCTGAAGCGTATAGCTGTCATCGCCTCTTCCGAAGAAAAAAAGCGCTAAAAAAGAAAATACCTTGCCCTCCCGTGTTGCCCTCACCCCTCGCCTCAGCGCTTGTAAACCTGCAGCGTCTGCGTTTCAACAAAAAGAAAGAAAAGAAAGTCGTTCTTTTGTTTCTTCCCCCTCCCCACCGTCGCGCGTGGTCCGAGAAACAAGGCGTCCGTTTGCTGTGTCGTCTGCTTGCGTACCACTCTGGTGGTCGCTAGGGATTCGAGAACACGAGTTCGCTGTACTGAGGCCTTGCTCGGTATTCTGAAGTACGTAGTTGTGAAATAATTTTACATTGAAACTATTAGCAGTCGCCGTGGGATTTTTTATACATTCGTTAACGTGGGGTTCGCTCTACCAAGATTTTGCTGTATGCAGATGAGCCCCAGCAAGTTCATCTAGGACGTCGTCTCGATTTGAAGCAAGGCAGGTGCCTCGATTAGTAGTGCAAATACGCAGCGAAGGGAAGTGTAGTTGCGGATTATGAAAAAGGTTCACCGGTAGAACACTGGACATGTTATGTGAAGGTTGCATGTTCAGTCCGTGCTCGCGGCAAGTTGTCTTCACATTTGTATTGACAATTGAAGACCACCGAAGATACCCCCACACTCTCGTCTGCGTGTAATCGCATTGTGATTTTTCCACACAAAGATGTCAAGGAGGCGGTTTCACTCGATGCAGGGAAGTGCTCGGCCGCCGCCCTGGACGTGCTGGCAAACGTGTTCCATGAGGAGCTCCTCGGGGTGCTGCTGCCGATCCTGAAGGAGACGCTGTTCCACCAAGGCTGGGAGATCAAGGAGTCTGCCATCTTGGCATTGGGTGCCATCGCCGAGGGCTGCATGGTGGGCATGGTGCCACACCTGCCCGAGCTGATCCCTTACCTGATCGGCTGCCTGGGCGACAAGAAGGCGCTGGTGCGCTCCATCACCTGCTGGACACTGAGCCGTTACTCCCACTGGGTGGTCAGCCAGCCGCACGACCTGTACCTGCAGCCCCTGATGACCGAGCTGCTCAAGCGGGTGCTGGACGCCAACAAGCGCGTGCAGGAGGCAGCTTGCAGCGCCTTTGCCACCCTCGAGGAAGAGGCCTGCACCGAGCTGGTGCCGTACCTGAGCTTCATCCTGGAGACGCTCGTCTTTGCCTTCAGCAAATACCAGGTAATTTGGCTCACTCTCGTGTTTCATGGCGGCTGCTGTGGCTCGCCAGTTACTGTGCTCGTTTGCTGACCCAAAGGGCATACGTTTAATCCTGGCTGCAGCAATTGCATTTCTGTGGAGGTGAAATGCTAGCAAGTGTACTGTGTCTGTTAGGTCTGTGGCCGCCTTGTATAACACTGTACTTCCTTTTTGTATAACACTGTACTTCAGGATTGCAACAATATTTAAGGGGAGAGCCTACCTCGAAAACCGAACTTTCTTATTTTTAAAATATCTTGGTGAAAATTTTAGGGTATATTCACTACATTAAAACTAGAAAAACTGCAAAGTTCCATGAAATTGTGTTGAGAGGTTCTAGAGTTACTGATGTCTAACTGGGTGGTTCACTTGTGTGGGTGAGGAAGGGCCGGAAGAAATCCCAGGACATACCAGAAGGCTGCAGATATTTGTGGTCATCCCTGGATAGATATCCCAGAATGCTAAAGAGCCGTTATTTGTTTTTTTTTTTTTTTTTTTTCAATTTTCCCCCCAAAAAATTTTTTGCAACTTTGAATTTGATGTAGCCAGTAGGCATGAGATTTATCAAAAATGAATTGTTTATCAAAAATTGATGGCACCAATTTTCAAAAAAAAAAAAGAGAAGCTTGTTACACTCTGGCAAAATCATCCAGGTGCAGAATAAATGAAACTGCACACAAATATGACAAGCACTTCTTGAGAAATTGCTTTCCTCAGCACCACAACTAGCTAAAAAAGAAAACGAGCTTGGAAAGTTCAGCACATGCTTTCCTCAAAAAGCTCTAGCAGAGGAGTAGCTTGAAATGTTGTTGTGTACTCTTTTCCTCTTTTGTCTTCCCTCCATCTTCTGTAAGTGCCATTTGCAATTTTTTTTTTTTTCCTACGTAGGGCGTCTCTTTCAAAAGCCGGCTGCATCAGTTCAAATTTTTTTCTGCGTTGCTGGCGTAGATTCGAGTTCAGCGCGAATGGCGTCTCCACATCTCGCATTCTCATCAATTTCTTTCTTAGTTAGGAAATGTGTCCGCAGATCAAGGGTCGACAGCCCATGCACGGTATTGGCCCCGATGCAAACAAAGTGCTGGGTCTGGCGATCTCAGCAACACTCTGTGTCACGCTCGACTGTCCTGATTCAGAGCACGTGCTGGATCCGGTGATCTCGGACACGCTTGACACATTCGCGGCTCCAGGTACACACAGTTTGTCCAATTCTAGACTGGTGCCAGCTGACAGCACAGTTTTGCCGCCGCAAGCATCTATGCACTGGGAACTTGCAGCAGAAAAGCGGAAGTTCGATTCTCGTTGAAGCCGCAAACGCGCTTCCACGCTCCGAACTAGCGCACCGTTATCGGCTTCCTTGCTGGCATCACGCACAGCAACAAAGATAAAGGGCACAGAACTTGTGCGAAGAAAATAAAAAGAAGAGAAACTGATCAAAAAATACAACGCAATGCAAAAAGCGGCTCGTAAGCAAACGTCTATCGAGGCAAACGGAGCAGAAAGCAACAGCGAGACGAGCGTGCCAGACGTGCCCTCGCCGAGGAGGACCGCCCTTGCTTCCAGCGCAGCTGCCAATCGCAGGCACGTTTTCGCCCGCGAGATATGAATGAGCTGCTCTAGCCAATCAGTGCTCCGCATCAGATCTTGGGGAAACGCAGATAGCATCTCAACCACGCTGTTGACACCATTTTGAAAGGCAGCAAACAAGAAAGAAAGAATGCACGCTCAGAACAAGACCAAGATGGTGCGAGACGGCCGCATGGTCTTGGAATGGCGCTTGCGTGAAGTTGGGTTTCATTTTGGCTTTTGCGCATTTTGGCCGCAGCAGTGGCCTCGAAAATAGCATATTTTTTTTGCACTTAGGGGTTGAATTAGGCTCTGATATTTACTGAATATGTAGTTTATGTGACATACCATATTTACTCGATTCTACCGCGCCCTCGATTGTAACGCGCACCCGATTTCCACCGCAAAAAAAAAAAAAAAACGTAAGACATCGATTGCAACGCGCACCCATTTTTCTCGCTGGCCTGCACGATCACGCCACTCGAAAAAACTACTCCTTTCGGGAGCGTCTTCCATTTAAATATGAGGTACGGGCGAAGATGTGCCCGTCTGACGTGTAACAGAGCATTGCCGTCACTGTAGTTTTACCGTGGACCGATGTCAGCACGCAAACTTGCTTCGCCCCCTTCTTCTCGACGGTTGTGATGCCAGGCATGTCGAAGTAAAGAGGCGTCTGGTCGGCATTCCCGATTTGCCCAAGCAGGTAGTCGTCGTTGCGCCGCAAGTTTAGGACGAACCTCTGAAAACTGCGAAGCTTTTCATCGTACTCCTCCGCAAAACTTTTCGCATATGCATGTTCCCCTTCGGAGGGAAAAGCCTTTCCTCTTCATAAAGTTAGTTAGCCAGAACCTGCTCGCTTTAAACTGGCTCCGCATTAGACATTTTTCTAAGACTAATTGCATAGCCTGCACTTGGAGCAGTTCTGCCGTCACGGGCCGCTGTGCTGCTCGCTGCTAAAGCACATTCTCGCCGAGCAGCTCTTTAATTTGCGGAAACCGACCCTGCCGTGGTCCACTGAAGTCTTTGCGTAAAGCTTTGCTGTCGAAAATCTTCTGCTTTTGTTTCCGCCGGTCCCGCACGCACGTTTCGGGAACTCCGAACGACCGCGATGCGGCCCGATTTCCATCCGTTTTTGCACACGCGGTGACTTTTCTTTTAAAAGCGGCATCGTGGTGCACTCGAGTTTTTGGAGTTGGCCATTCCACGCCGTCGATGCTAATGCACTACTAGATGACGAACTCCTCAGCACACGTACGAAGTGCCGCACATAGGCAACACATAGGCAGAAATGGCCGACGCGCCATGCCAACACACGTAGGGGGCGGCCATTTTAGATTTGCCGATGGCAATAGATTGACCGTAATTTTCTTGTTCGTACTCGATTCTAACGCGCATGCGATTTATGAACTCGCTTAACCGGAAAAAAGGTGTGCGTTAGATTCGAGTAATTACGGTACAACCGAACAATATGTTTTTTCAAAAACAGACTTTTTCGCGATTGTTCGGTTTTCAACGGCCGCGTCCCCCCTTGAGCTCTTTGAACATTCGAATAAATATTATAGCACACTCGAACATCATCATAGCAAAGTTGCATCCTACACGACTCCAAAAATTTTTTATAAAAGTTTATTCCCAACACTATATCTATTGCAAGAGTATGTTTCATAAACTTCATTATAACCAATGTATCATTATATCCGGGTTTGTTATATCGAGGTTTGAGTGTATTCTAACTCGTTTTTATTTGAATTGTTGGAAATTCGAAATACAGTAGACTCTCATTAAACGGAACCTGAAGGGACTGGGAAAATGTATTCAATTTAACAGGAGTTCCGTTTACTGAGAGGTGAAGTGGGCTGCAGCATTCAAGTAAGAAATCAATCATATCAGAGGAAGTTGTTCCATTTAAGCAGCACTTCTGTTAATCAGAGTTTCATTTACTGAGAGTCTACTTGAAATGAAATACACTCAAACCTCGTTATAATGTAACAGGATATAATGAAATAATGTATATAACGAAGTAAATTAAATTCCCCCTGCAAACTCCATTGAGAACCATGCATTTGAAACCTCGTTGTAATGAACTAAAATTGACCGGCAAATGGATATAACCAACTAAATTAGTCTATCAAATAGTCTATTAAAAAAAACTACCGTAGTGTGTTAAGTATAGCGTTTTCTGGGAAGTTTGATGCTCGTTCGGCGCGGCTCTTTCAAAACTCCCGCGCCACCTTACAGCCATGCCCCGCGCGGCCGAGAGAGCCGTCCTCCTCACACAGCCAGCGGAGAAAATTTAGGAAGCGCTCAGTCACATGACCGAGAAGTGGCACCACTTTGCAAAGCGATTTCCCTCTCACTAAAAAAATATCGAGTAAAAAGGGTGTCTTTTTGTCCCACAACAATAATCGTCATCAGGCTTGCGTGCGCTTCCTTTCTTGAAAACTCTGCGCTGGCCTCTTTCCTATCGAGAATGCAATGTAACCCTTATAATGGGCATGTCGATCGTGACCAGAATGTACTGGGCGCGGGGTGATAGCGCAAGGATTGAACGCAATATAAATGACGATTATTGTTGGACAAAAAGACACCCTTTTTACTCGGTCTTTCTTTAGAGTGCTCACGGCGGCAATGACTGCGTTTCCGCTGCTACCATGGCTGCTTACTCTGCACTGAAAAAGGAGGACTCTCTGCTACAGCTTTTTTTTTTTTTTTTTTCCCCGCTCTCTGTACGCGTGGCCTTGAAAGGAGAAGGGTCTCTACGTGCAGAAACGGAAAAGGGAGAAGCGGGAAACAGGCGCGTCGCAGATCAGCATTTGAGGGGGAGCAAACAATCCGCCACAGTCTTTTCTTTACTTTTCTTCTTTTCCTTCTTCGTGCACAACGTTGAGAGGTGCCGCCGCGGGATTGGGCATGGTGCTGAGAGCATTTTCAGGCCGCTGTATGTTCGAAATAATCGTCGCAAGCGCTTGCGCGTTCGAATTACAGGGCGTTTTTGCCCATTAGAATACATAGCTTTGACGGGACTTCAGCGTGTGTTCGAATTACCCGAAAGTTCGAATTAATGAGGTTCGATTGAGTTTATTTTCCGTGGCACGCGTGGTCGCATAGCGGTACATCGGGCCGCAAGGCGGTTTCCTTCTTTGCATGCTTATAGGTGTGCGCCCATCTTAGCATACATTGCCACAAACTGTTGTAATGTGATATAACAAAATAGCTGTGACTCCTTTTCAACTTTGTTAGAATGAGGTCTGAGTGTACACTCAAACTGCATTATAACGGTTGGGTCCTACACGAAAATAAGTTCGTTATATACGAAAATTTATTGTAAAGGTATATTTTCAGCACTTTACCTATTACAAGAGTATTTTTAGTTTACTTGGTTATTTCCGTTATTTTGTTATTTCTGGTTTTGCTATATCGGGGTTCGAGGAATAGGTGCATTTTAACCAGCATGCAACTTTGCTATATATGTTGTTTCACTGCAGTGGAGGTCTACTATACCATGAATACATTTTACCATATACTAACTGCCAGCTCGCCTGAATTGTCGGGGAGACTCCTGAGTTTTGACCAAATATCCCATTGTACAAATGCTGTCTTGAATCCCCCGAAAAGTAGTTGCCACAGCAGAGGCGTCCCCCTTTTTTTTTTGTGCCTCTAATCACGCACACTCCAGCCTTCCTTACTGCAACAGTTGGCGGTGCTGTGGAGGAACACTCGCCACTACACTTGTAGTTCGTCGCTGTACTGTAGAGTATGGCTAAGTATGAACCGCGCATCTGGGCGAACACCTGTGGCCATGAGGCGCGCTTGCCACCACACCAAAGGCAGGCAAGGGGAAAAAATACAACTTTTTCTTTTGTCTGTCTGGGCCCCCGCATTTTGTGCGCTAGGCCTATGCCTCCTGCCCAGGCGTCAGTTGTGTTTGTTACATGATTGTGAGGGTTGTGTGTTTCCCAGTGTTCAGTTTGAAAGCTAATGGCTGTGTCAAAAAGCAAAGGAGTACGTGCAAGTGTTTCTGGAGTTGTGCACACAGCCGAGTTCTGTGACTTTGTAGAAAGGTGACAAGTATGAATTCTGTGCCACATGTTCCTGCAATGCAAGTGTTTCGCGTGGCAGCAAGCCCAACGTTACATGTGCACATAGCTTCGCAGAAGCATCAGAACTATGTTTACGCTAAAAGAGCTGCAAAGACCGTTCGCGAGATTTTTCGTGCAGCGCTACTTGGCGTTAAACATTAGTGATAACACGGGACCGTGTTAAAGAGGACCGTGATCGTGGACGTATTAAAACAACTGCCATTGTCTAGGACAGTGGTCCTCAGCCATGGATGTGTTGTGGACTGGTGGAAGTGATAAGGGACCCCTTGCAGCAGAGGGGGGGTACGTAGGTAAATTAAAACACAACTGGAGCATGAAACGGGTGCCTTTTATTGCTACCAAAAACATCACTTTATTTTGGACAGTTCATCAATACGTGGCACTGTCATGCATAAAGAAAAATGTGGGTGAGGCTTTCGTGGATAATAGTAATGGCCTCCCTAGGGTTCGTCTAAGAAATTTCCACTGGTCTAGGAAATTGCTGCATATGTCGAAAACACAATGGTGAAAGCTCTGAAATGCTGTGCTTTCGCATTCACAGTGGATGGAAACAATGACGGCAGGCTGCAAATGTCTGTTTCAGTAAATTCTCTTTATACTTTGTTTGCTTTGTGATGTTTGATGAAAGTTCGCAGGCATTGTTGACAGAAGTGTTTTTTTTTTTACATTTATGCAGCACAAGAATCTTCTAATACTGTACGATGCCATAGGGACCTTGGCGGATTCTGTCGGGCATCATCTCAACAAACCTGTAAGAATCTTATCCCTTGGAATTGTATGCCTGTACTTCGATGATGTCTTGCTGCATGGCTTCCCTTGCAGTGAGGTGGGCTGCTTATAAACCAGATAACTGTGCATTCTTGGCATAATTTTGTCGAGTGAATTACGTTTGATTGGATAAAGCAAAAATAAATGAAAGGGTGGTTGCTGGCACTGATTGCTCATCTCGTTTTTCAGGAGTACATCAACCTGCTGATGCCACCGTTAATAGAGAAGTGGAATGTCCTGAAGGATGACGATAAAGATCTCTTTCCTCTACTAGAGGTAATTATGCTGGATACGTTCCTATGGCATTCTTCGTCTGTTTCTTTCATTTATAGTGCTAAAATCTGCTTCCACTTTTATCTTGATGTGATGATGACATTCTTCAAACTGAGCTGCTTTCTGGCTCTGATTTTCTTATGAATCGTACTGTCTGACATGTCGTAATAGGCAAGCTTAGGCAACTCACGGGCTCTGTTGATAACAATTACTTCTCTTACACTGCGTGATGCAAGAACTCACTGCTTGTATTGCCACCCAAAACCACGCAAGCTTTGTTGATCCACCCTGGTACAGTATTGCTGCATTGGGACAAGTCACTGCTGAGGGAAAAAAATGTACACCCTCCAGATTTTTTAACCTACATGCGCTAACGACAACCGCTGAGTCGATGAGTGCCTTAGCGCAGCGGCAAAATCAACTATAACACGCTCAAACCTCAATATAATGAACCTGGATATAACGAAATATTGGTTATATAATGCAGTAAATTAAATATCGTCTTGCATTTGATATAGTGTTGGAAATAAGCCTTTATAAGGAATTTTCGGATGTAACGAAGTTATTTCTATGCAAGATTCAACTTTGTTATTATGAGTTTGTAGTGAATGCTTTGTATGACGAGCAGTCCTGTAACAGTCTGAAGAGCATGTAGTCTTATGTGAGCCTGTTCAGGCCCTGCCTGAATTACCGAGGCGCTGAAGCCGATCGCTGTTGCGACGAAAGAAATAGTCCTGCTCCAACACCTGGCTATGTTCTCTAAAGGCAGAATCATGGCTGTCCAGCTTATGACATCACTTTTGTATTCATAACATGTGGTACAGGCTTTTGTGCAACGGCCTTGGAGATGGAAATGCTGTAGACTTCTAAAAGACTTCCAAAGTTGTATCCAACTACACTCATACCTCGATATAACAAAGTACGTGAAGAACAATCTTGTAACATATACATTGTATTAGGAATAAACCTTTGGCGAATTTTCGGATACAACGAAATTATTTGTGTATAAGATGCAACTTTTTATAATGGGGTTTGAGTGTACAGGTTCACAGAATTGGGAGGTTGTACATAGAGTTGTCATGGTTGCCTATGTTCTCTCGACATCACCAACCTGGTGGTTGCGCATTTGTTGTTGGTGCACTGGGCTCTTGGGTGTTGACTGTTCTGTGCTGTTTTGGGCTATCGCGCAGTGTTTGTCTAGTGTGGCCACTGCCCTCCAGTCCGGGTTCCTGCCATACTGTGAACCTGTTTTCAGGAGGTGCGTCTCCCTGGTGGAGCAGACGCTGAATCAAAACATGGTGAGTCTTCAAGGCATTTCTGTTTGCTTTGTGCCTTTTTATATGACATATTTTGTAATGGGAGGATTATTTAGGAATGTTTATGCACAAACAGAGAAGGGGGAGGAAAAATAAACACAAAAGGAAAACAGCTTTGCTAGACATATCTGTTGTCTGGCATTTATGTTTATGTGTGCATTAAAAAGTTTGAAAGCTTCTGTAGTAGTGGCTTATATGCACTGAGTGTACTAAATTTCGAAATGTAACATATATTACAGGTTATCACTTGCATTCTACCAAAAGTCAAATCCTGCTACTACTCAAAATTGTTTCCAATAATTTTGAACCTTAAAAAAAAAGACATTGGCACAGGCCTTGTGTACATTTTTTTTTTTTTTTAAGTTGTGTAAGATATAGTTTTGTCAGGACAAATATGTCCATTTTTCTGTGTACCGTGCGATATAGACTGTTCGAATGCAATTCAAAATCGTTGTACCCAATTATTATTCACTTCAAGCTTAAAATTTATCACAGTCAAACTGCTTTATTAGCCGGGTGTCTGCCAACCTGGAAAACCTGGAAAAGTCGGGAATTTGTATCTTTCTGGAAAAATTGGGGAATTTCTAGAAAATCTGGCGGGGTCATGGAGACTGACAGCAGTCTGTGTGATCGTCACAAAAATAGACATTACCATTGATGCAAGCGTAAAAAGCCACTCTTTCGGCTGCAAAAGAGCAAGAAGATGCAGGAAAAAAAAAAAGTGCATAACCATTGCTTCTAAGTGTAGGCGGGAAAGGATACACCTACCAAAGGAATATACGGTTTACTGATCTTTCAATACCTTCTACGGGACCCTTGTTCACAATAATAGCTATAAGAAAGGCACAGGGTACTTAAATCATCATGGAAAACCTTAAAAAGTGAGGGAATTTCGAAAAAGCAAATCGGTAGACACCCTGATAAGAGGCATGCTCCGGGCAGCAATTTTTGTCTTTTATATGAGATGTCTCTTATAAGCAGGGTACCTCTTATGCATTTTCTTGTCTACCTGTATTTTACTGTTGGCACACTAGTGTCTCTTATACCCGTTCGTCTCTTATGAAGGGCTTCAACTGCATTTGCACTAGCCTGATCCGGTGCTTTCTTGGCCGCTACTGAACAAAGAACCACATGTGTGTACGTTTCGCCTCAAGAGGCTAAAGTGGAGTGCTAAGTGTGCGTGTGAACACGTTTACAAAAGCTTGTTCACTGTGCTGAGGTTGTCCATGACTTGTGCACGAAATGCAGGCCAACGCAGCCCATCCTGACCAGTTTGAGGCCCCCGACAAGGACTTTGTCATAGTGGCCCTGGATCTTCTGAGTGGACTGGCCGAAGGCCTGGACGGTCACATGGAGAGCCTCGTCATGTCCTCCAACATCATGCAGCTGCTCTACCAGTGCATGCAGGTGCTGCGTCTGCTACGCAAACACTCGCATTCACTTGAGCCAGACATAGTTTTGCCGTGTAGGAATGTCAAATATTGGTTCCTTTTATGTCACCTCTTGCATATCAAGGCTATATCGAACTATGCCATGGTTCAGTCAAGTTTTTGTTGTAGTTTACGTTAATTGCTTATAAATTAAGTCGGATTCCTGTGACAACTTAGTGGAAGCCATCGTCATCTTTTTAGTCTGTCAACTGGGCTTACACCACCCCTTTTCCAGCTCTCTGCACCATAGAGGGGCATTGCCTGCGGGACTAAGCCACTGTTGACCTAGTGGCAAGTGTCATATGATCACATCATAGGGTGACACTACATTGTCATGATTTTTTGCATCACTTGGGGGGGGTGTCGACACTGATTGTCACTTTTCGTATTTGATGAGGCATTTAAAGCTTCCACCTGAATAATAATTTCCGCCAATGTTAGGGGGGGGGGGGGTATAAAAACAATTGTCGACTTGTCTAGGTTCTCGCGTTCCAAGTGATGCAAAAACACTGAAGCGCTGTGTGAAAATACATCAAGCACTGTGTGGCAACACCAGAACCATTATCATGCAGAGCTTGGGCATGGTTCTTAAAAGTAACGCAGCGAGAAAAATTACTTCTTAGTACGCATTCAGTATGACCATGCATTTTTACGTATCTGCCTGTTTTGTGCGTGTTGCAGGACTTGATGCCTGAAGTGCGACAGAGCTCCTTCGCACTGCTCGGTGACCTGACAAAGGCTTGCTTCCAGCACGTGAATCCCTGCATTTGTAAGTCCGCCATGAAGATCCTCTTGAAATTGATCTAGACACGCCGCGGCAATCCATTGCTGACTTGAAGGTTGCAGGGTCGAATCCCGGCTGCAGCAGCTGCATTTCTGATCGAGGTGGAAATGCTTGAGGCCTATGTGCTTAAATTTAGGTGCCTAATAAGGAAGGGGGGGGGGAAATCGGAGAAGAGTTTCTTCGTCTTTAGTAGTAGGGCAATAAATAGACATGTTCGTTGGGAAGTGCTCAGAATGGCTATGAAAATATGAAAACAAACATCTTTTTTTTTTATGCTTTAAAGTCGTGTCAGTACTCCTTTAAACAATGCATATGTTTACCAGGACCCAGAGGACAAAATTAAGAGGTTCAGTTTTCCATATTACAGTGAAATCTCGGTAGAACGAACCCCATATTAACGAACTTTTCTGGTTAACAAACTTTTAAAAATCCCATGCCGACTGCTAGTAGTTCCGATGTAAAAGTGTTTCACTACTATGTACTTCAGCATACCGACCTTTTCAAAATACCGAGCGTTAATTTACTTCTGCGTGATATTAACGCCTCAGTACAGCAAACTTGTTCTGAAATTCGTCGCGACCACTGGAGCGGTACGCAACAGACGTCAAAGCGAACAGACGCCTTGCTTTTCTGAAGACGCGACGGTGCAGAGGGGGGAGAAAAAAACGAAGGGGCGACTTTTTTTTGTTGAAACGCCAACGCTGCAGGTTTACAAGCACAGAGACAAGGGGCGAGGGCAACACGGGAGGTCAAAGTCAGCGAGGCAAAGTGGGAATTGCAGAGCAGGAAGCATGGGTGTGGAAAATCTGAAACGGCAAGGGAGCATAAAACAAAGTTCAAGGAATTTTCTTTTTTATCACTTTTATTCCTTTGGAAGAGGCCGCCGCAACGCTTCTGGTTTTTCTTCTTTACTTGTACATGTGATCTAAGAGGCCTCGTTTGTCAGTTGTGTTCATCTCTTTTCGGCGATTACTCATCGCTTTTACAAAGTAAGTTGGCGTTCCAGCTGCGGCGCTACTACAAACGAGTTCATCTCTGCTTGCGATGAATAAGCGGAAGCAGTGTTCGCTAAGAGAAAAAGTGGATGTTCTTCGGCAACTGGAAGGCAGAAAGCGAGCTGTTGTGACCAAAGAACCGAATCGCATCACAGGAACGTGGATGAGCTGGAGGCCTTCGCGCTACAAAGTTTGTGCTGCACGCTTAGCAAAAAAAAAAAACACACACACACACACACACAGGCTTCTTTTAAGTACCGTATTTACTCGCGTAATCCTCGCACTCGCATAATTCTCGCACCCCCCACATCGGCCAACAAAAATGCGATTTCTTTTTTTTTTTTCTCGTGTAATTATCGCACCCCCGAAAACTGCTGTAATAATGTCTGCTCTTTCCAGCCACTGATGATGATAGCGCATGCCATCTGGCGCCATCTCTTAAGCATCAAGCGTACTATTGTACAAGATTCAATCCAATTCAAGCCAAGCCGAAGTGGCTAGTGCGCATTGCGGCGTGTTTTGTATGTTGCGTCGGTAAGCTTGGCAAGTTAAGAGGTGATACTGAAGCTGTATGGCTGCTTTTTTCTTTCTCTGCTCTTATTGTTGAGATAAGTTTTAATTAGTACTTCTTAAAGCTTGCTGTTAGTTGCTGGTGTGAGAATCTCGATTTGTGGCCACTTCGTTTTCTTTTTCGCTCTGTACGTTTTCGTAGAGAGTTTTCCCCGCGTAATTCTCGCACCCCCAACATTTCATCGGTTTTCCGACAAAACAAAGTGCTAGGATTATGCGAGTAAATGCAGTAAACGTGCATTTTATGGTGTTCACTTGTGCATGCGTTTTTTGTCATGAAAAACGAATTCAAGGGCCCACCGTTGTAAACGTAAGTCGCTTTGGTCGGTGGAAACTATGTGTTCATGGGTAATTTTTGGGCTTTCACTATAACGACCTTTCTAAATAACGAACAAAATGCCGCAGCCCCCTGAAGTTCGTTTAACCGAGATTTCACTGTAACAAGTGCCACATTAATGATTTGAGCAAATTATGTGGCCATCTGGTAAAAATATTTTAGCATGTTCTGCACTTGAGGGATTGTAGATAGAGCCTGCGGTGAGGGAGAACATTTCACAAAAACTACTGTGGCTGTATTCATTCTGTTTGCAAGTGCAACTGCTGCAGTTCAGCCCTTCAAGTCTTTCAGTGTGCCATAATTTGATAAACTAAGACTAGTAGTTTACATTCCTAGTCTTAGTTCTGTAAAGAAGAAAGAAATTTAAAAAGTGAGGGTAAATGGAACCGTTATAAGCTAAACGTCCCATTTACGGTGTGTTTTAGTTTTAATTGAGTTTACAAATCTCGCCTGGGGTTCAGAAATGGTTCACCTACAAACATTTCTGTGTGCGATTTGAACGGTTTTGTTATCAAAGGGACAGGCATAATCAGGTAAGCAGAAGCAGATTTAAGTAGCTTGCTTGTGAAGTAGCATAGTGCCCAAGTCTTTTTGGACTTATCGTGTCGCCTCCTTTGCAGCCGACTTTCTTCCCATTCTCGGTCAGAATCTGAACCCAGAGATTATATCTGTGTGCAATAATGCAACATGGGCCATTGGCGAGATCTCTGTCAAACTTGGTGAGTAGTCGGCTCCTTTGTAGTGTGGGGCGCTGTAATTTATCTTTTGTGGATATATTACTGCTCCGAATGTCCGAACGAATATTGTGGTTTTTGAATTTGCTTCAATATAAATATAAAATTTCTGAAATTTCAAAGTGTGCGAGACAAATAGTAGTAGACATGTTTTACCACATGCAAGTGACCTAGAAAGGTGGTTTCGCTGCAGCACGGAGCAGCTGTGCCGTGAAACTGCCAATGCAGGGGAAATTTACACTGCCGTGAAGTTGCACAAAGTTATGCAGGCATGTTTCTCATACCCAGATTTTTTTTTTTTTTCAATTTAAAAGTGTGTTATATGGGCTAAGGATGGAAAATTTTAAAATGTAACACATTTCAGAATGTAAGTTGCTAAGCACTCTGCTGTAGTTTGCCACCTAAGTCATCATTCGCACCCATACTTCTTAGCGTGCCTGTGAATGCCTCAGCATCGTACATCTCTCCACTGTGACAAGTGTTGAACTTGAAAGCTTGCTTCTTTTGTTCTTTTCTTCTTTTTACTAGCAGCCTCTGGTAAGCAAATTTCACTGGCACCACTATTGCCGCTTGCTTCTGGGTTGGTTTTCGTTAACGTCTGCCCTATTCTTGCTTTTGAGTATTTGGTGGTTGTAGTGGGCTTGAGATTTATTATTCATTTATTTATTTACAGAATACTGCAGGCTCATATCAGAGCCTATGCAGGAGTGGGAACAAGCATTTGTACAAAAAAAAATCACAATCAGTATTCAACGCGCACATTGTACACACGAAATTAATACTCTCATACAAACAAGTACGCATAGCAATTTGACCACCTCATTTCGGACTGTCTCCCTTGCTTAAGTGGAAAACAGTCATCTCATGATCCTGTCACAGGGCATCAATAATGTCATTCGCAGCGAAAGAGGTCATGCGTATATACCATTTTTGTTGCGGTGACATGAGCATGGCAATTGAGATTTGCAGCTGATGTTTGTTCATAGAATGTGTTTCTCGAACCCACGCCTGCCATACTTTTTTTAATCCTGACAGCAGGGGCTTGGCAAGTGAGAACAATAACCAGTAAAAGGAACCATTTCAATAATATTAATGTACTAATCATGTTTAGACGTAGCGGGGTGTGGAATTAGCACTACTGTGTCAGCGCACAAATAAGGGGGCAGTCGATGCCCTAGCTCTCGTCTGCGTCCGCGAAGCAGCGCGTTTTGCCAGCAATAGTTCTGCCTTTCACGAAAGACCGTGAAAACGTGTAAATCAGAAGCATGACCTGGAATGTAAAGTTATCACAGTCGCCGGCCAACAGATGTCGCTGTGAATAGTTTTTTGGCAGACACTGTGAAATCCTAGGTCTCAATAACATTCGTTGCGAATATCATTTGTGATTTACTGTGAGCGACGCTGAATGTGTCTTGTGGCAGGGGTGGTTGTCTCGGAGAAACACATCTTAGTTGCCTTTTTGTGCCATGTTTGTCGTGCAGGCAGGGACATGAAGCCATACATCCCCATGGTGCTATCTCAGTTGGTGACCATCATCAACCGTCCCAACACGCCAAAAACATTGCTGGAGAACACCGGTACAGTGTGTTTGCATGTGCAGCTGCAGTAGTAGTGCTAGTAATGCTTTGGGATAGTTACCTACTGTTCTTTCTTTATTGTTGCAGGTGTAAACTTGCTAGTCCAGTGCATGGCATCTGTTTTGTAGTCTGGTTCTGGATTTTATGTCTAGCTGGCAGTGAGCTTTAGAAGCACAGAAAGTAAAACCCATGTAAAAAGGAAATCTTGGCTGCGCTGGCCTTTTGTGGGACAGCATGTTGGCCATATTCTTACAGACACCGAAATCTAGCAGCATGAAAGGCAAGGCCATTGTTATGGCACATTGAGCTGCATGGGAACATGTTGGGAGGCCATTGACCTAACTCACAAGGCTGTGAAGTTTGCATTAATGGCAATTAGCTAAAGTTGAGGTTTTTAATTGCTTGAATTTCTCAAGACTGGTTAAGCTTTCTGGCATTCTACGGTTCAGTGCCATTGATGATGCATTGAGCAATGTTGCTAGTCCCATCTGAAGTGCTTGCATGGATTGGTTGGGGAATAAAGTCACAAGTTGACAGCATAAGGAACTCTCGCTGATCATAGCGTATTGGGGCATGCTTTATCTCTAGCATCAACTGGCGTAAATATGGTCAACGTCTTAGTGCAACTTGGGCTTCAAGTTGTGTGGCAGGATTTGCAACAATGGCGCACGTTAAAGAACCCCAGGTGGTCTAAATTTCCGGAGCCCTCCACTACGGCGTCTCTCATAATCATATACAGTCGCCGACCGATTTTTCGGACCTGGCGGGGACCGAAAAAAAGTACGAAAAATCGAACAGTCCGAAAAATTCGTTTTTGCCAAAAATCTGAAGTTTATTGCATCAGGCAGGTTTAAAAAAGTCCTTGATGCTGCCTTGTCTCAAACTACGCTTGGAGGCAATTTGGTTTGCCCGTATTTGCGCCAAGGTGACATCGTCGCTGTAAACGCTCGACAAAATTGTCACCGCGTTGGCGATCTCCGACGGCTGCGGGCGGTCGTCGTTGTCATCCGACGACAACGACGACCGCCATCCGGCGTCGACCGTCATCCAGCGACATCTAGCTGCGAACGTCCACTCTCTATTAGCTTGATTATGGCAGCTTTCTTCTCCATCGTCAGGGTCGTATACTTCCCACGCTTCTTCACACCACCTGGCTCCCGCGATGGCACAGATAGCGGAGCCATGGCACTGAGAACACAAAATTCAATGCCGCAGATAGCCGCTGCGAAGCACACAACGTCTCGACGCTACGCGACACAACACGTGCAGAATGGCGACTGAAAAACGCTGCAACGACAATAAAAGAATCCTTTTTTCGCCTCCTCCCCGTGCGATGTGATGACGATAGTGCTGACCGAAGACGAAAAAACGGCATCCATCACCGCGTCTTTTAAAAAGCAAACACGGCCTCCGAAACTTAAAATATGGCGTGCGCATTCCAGTCTCGGAGGCAGGAAAAGCATCTGAAGACCAAGCTTAGCCAAGCCGACGGAAAATCCAACATGGCGGCGTTCACAATGGCTTGGGGCGTGGCACAAAACAAGCGATTTAGTCCGAAAAATCGAACTTTCAGGGGCAAATTCGCCCGAAAAATCGGTCGAAACAATGCATTAGCTCTATGGGATCCCTGACGGTGCATTTATGAAGTCCGGAATATCCAACAAGTCCGAATTTTTGGAGTCCGGAAAATCGGTCGGCGACTGTAGTGGTTTTGGGACGTTAAACCCCACATATCAATCAAGGATTTGCAACAAGTGCAGCTTTGAGCTGGCATTACAGTTGAACATCGCTATAACAGGGTCGTGTCTGAGAGGAAAATAGCTTTGCAGTATCTGAAAATTAGTTATAAACATTGTTATAAACCCTCTAAATTTGTTATAAACACTGTACCAAAAGCAAGGTTATTCATTTACTTTATTATAACTGTTTTTGTTATACTGAGCTTTTACTAACTTAAATACTTTCGTGTCCTTCCTCGTTTCATTCAGTAGCTAGGCATTCATTTTGTGCAACGTTGTCATCCTGGTAACAATCTGAGAGATGTTTTTTGCTGAACTTTTTCAAACTGCCACAAGTTCAGTAGCAGCTTTCGGGCCTCCATACGCACCGACCTGTAATCCGACCTGTTAAGCTGTAATCACACGACTGGGCAAAAGCCGTAAACCAGCGGAGTAGTGGTACCCATTGAGCTGAACTGTATTACACTTGGCTACGCTTTGGCCTGCAATGTTGTTGGGTACCATAAAGCACTTGACTATAAGTTTGCTCCCTGTATCAATTGTGCAGGATTAATTTGCGTATCGTTGGTGCCGAAGCCGTTTCATCTAGCTAAACTCAAATCCCACCTGCATGTGCTTGTTGCCACGACTCTCTGCCCCTGTTGTTGGTACCGTCCATGTCTTATTGGCAATGCACACTTTTAGGTGACCTACACTCATGCTCACATCTGACGTGTGTGGCTTTTTGCTATCTTTTAATGCAGACAGCTAGGTTATGCTGTACTTCAAATCCGCACGCAAACCTTTACTGTGTTATCTTCAAGGGTGCTGTGAACTGGGAAATGTTGGGGGTTTACTACGTTAGTGAATATAAAATATTAGGCCGGTGGTGATGGACGTTCCACTTGTAGTGATCACGATGACAGTTCTATTAGCGTCAAACCTCATTGTAATTGTAATTTGTTAGATATGGAGAAAAAAACTTTTTCAGATGTTTCTTGCCTTTACGAGGTATAACGAATTGATTTCGTCGTTAAAATAGCAACATAAATTTCTGCAGTGTTCCAAATTTGTTTCTCTTAGTAATAGAGCATGGAACTGAAGACTCTGCTTGCCTGCCTGTGTACCACTCGGTGCAGCAGATATTCCTGGATATTCTTATTTCACACAAAGAAATTAGTTATATTATTTAAGGATACTATATCAAAGTGTCTGAATAGTTTCAGGAGATAGTTTGTCTTCCTCAGTATTAACTTGAAAGGGCTCATTATAGCCATGTAATTTTACGCGGTCAGCATGCTGGAAACTGTCGTTACAGATGACTCTGGAATATTTTGACATGGCAGCCACTAAATGCGTGTTAGGCCTAACAGTGGCCAAGCAGAGACTATGCCTTTAAAAACAATAGCACAGGAAGCATCGTTCGAGGCACAATTATATTGAAGCTGAACTAAAACAGTAGGGAACCTCCCCGGAATCATGAAATTTCTTGCAGCCCCGGTGCACTTGTACAATATCTGGTAGTACTTCTTCGGTCTGTACAGTAAAGTGAAGGTCAATTCACAATTTCGTTTAAAGTTTGCAACTGCAGAGGGCAAGGCTGATTCATCGCACAAACTAGCAGCCATAATTATTACAGGAAGCACATTACAGTAGATTCTCAGTAAATGGAAATCTGTTAAACGGAACTATTACCTCTGTAATGCTTGGTTTCGGGCTTGTATTCTGCACCAATGTTCACCTCTCAGTAAACGAAACCCCTGTTAAATAGAACATATTTTCCCGGTCCCTTCAGGTTTCGTTTAAGGAGGGTCTGCTGTATTGTGACCCGACATACACAATTTATGCAGTGAAACCCCTGTTAAATAGAACATATTTTCCCGGTCCCTTCAGGTTTCGTTTAAGGAGGGTCTGCTGTATTGTGACCCGACATACACAATTTATGCAGTGGCGTACAAAGCCCGTGGTATGTTGCAAATCCATTTTCTGTGTGCTTCACGTTAGTCTAAAGCTGTCTATAACTTGAAAAAACTTTTAGGCAACAACTGTGAATGATACTGCAAGAGTGGGCATAAATTTCACTAATAAATTTCTCGCCATGAAAGTAGCCATCCGGAACCGCACTCACTCATCAACACTCTACACCCAGTTCAAACCGTTCTCTTCATCAATCCTCTGTGCCGTTTGCTATTTCTCATTTGTTTGTTATTTTCACTCTTTATTATGGTTGGGTGCGCTCTGTGTACCTCGTTACGTGCAACAATCTCTCTCTTTCTCGTTTGTCTTGATTGCCGACTTGTTTAAACGATTATGTATACGTATAATTTTTTTAGCCTGTGTGTGGGGCGCACCTGGCGTGGTGTGGACCGTTGTTTTTAATTGATTGAAACATTGTTGCCAATGATTTTTTGCGAGTGTCGCTGTGTTTGTTTGTTTGTTTATAGGTTGTCTTTGCTTTTTTCCTTTTTTCTCCTTTTTTTCTTCCCCACCCATTTCCCTCCACCCATCTACCGCCCAACTTCCTGGACTACCCTCCCGGCCTACCTCCCTCCACCTGCCATGGACGTCTTCCCTCCACCCCTCCTCCACCTGCACCTCATTTACACCTCAACCATCACCACCACCACTGCGTCTGTTGTTTCGTTGCCTGCATCTTCCCGTACCACCGGTCCCGTTGCTTTAAAAAAAAAAAAAACACCCCGGATCACCAACCTACGCTGCCGCTGCCAACCTCCCCTCTTCCTTCGGACCTCCTCTTCAAACATGTAGCCATTACGATCGGGCGCCTTGGTTACGTTTGCCCCGAAGAAGTGGCACCCATGTTACAGCAGTTTATACGCCCGTGGTGTGTAAATCCCCTTTTTTTAATTTGTTTCTCTAGTATGTCGTATCTTTTTGATCTGCCTCTCTGTCGGGTCTGTTGAACGTTTTTTGCCTTTCATTTTTATGATTAGTTTTCTTGACTTGCAGTTGGTTGTTTTCTTTTTTGCAGTTGCCATGCTGTTTATGGTTTATTGCTCTCACTTTGTAGAGGTAGAAAGTCTTTCCCATCTGGTGGTGTATGCGTGCGTTGCTTCGCTGATTGTGTATATTTTTATTCATTTTGGTCCCCCCACCTGGAGCGTTGAGGCAGCACTGTATTTGAATTGGTTGACAAATGTTCTGGTAACTTTGTGTGGCATGGCAATGGCCAGCTGTCTCACAATAGAACAATGCTTTGCGTGTGCATTATGCTCTTCAGCACTTTTCTAACACGTGGCTGACCTTCAGTGAGATCGTTAGTGCGGCATGTAGCACTCTCTTGTGGGTGCAGTAACTATGCAGCTCGCGAGACTCAACTCTGCCAGTGGCCACGGGTCATTTGAGTATATGTCATCATTGGTATGGATAAACTGGACTTTGAGAATTAAGAGTAAATTCCAGGCCACTTGCTGCACTGTTATTTTCGGCTCTCATGCTCTCGGGAGCCTTGAATATCGATCAATAGCATTTTCGGACCATGCTGTAAAAGTTGAGTGGGTCGGGGAACAAGCATGTCTTAAAGGGCCCGTAAACCACCCAGAAGTCGAAATTCAGTTATGGTGGGGAAATTGTGACAACAAATGCGGAGCTGTGAGAATTTTTCGAAACAGCTGTAATAAAAGGGTTAGGCGCGTTCAATTGTCGAAACCGCAGCGATCCCTCTTTTCGCTATTTTCTTCGCTACCCTCCATGGTATACTCTCCCGAACCGCTTTGACCTCTCGCCGAGCGCCCCTCCCAATCTCGTGTGGCATACGTCATCGCTGACGCACTGCTTGAAACACAGTCTACTTTCAGTTGCCGCGAATTCGTCAGCTGCGTTGTAGCTGTGCGCTTGTTGGCGAACCGCGGCTGCCATGCCTATACGAAACATGCCGGCATGGGCCCTGCGTTGTGCGCACGTCTTTAATGGACCGCCAACGCAATGGACCTGTACGGGTACATGCTGTGCCAGACCAACCTTCGCACAAGATAATGAGCCGCTGCCAGCGCGGATAGTTGCTTGCAGATTGGATGGAAGTCGTGGGCTCTTTCTTGACCAATCACAGCATATTTTGATCGGCTCGTCAGAGATATTCGAACGGTGCATCACGTGGAAGCACGAAAGACCTGGAAAGGAGCAGGAATTGTTTCTTGGAATTCGTGGCGTGCCGGTGGCTTGTAGCACTGCCGCGTGTAGAGTCGTTGATCACGCGAATCGCAGGTTTACTGAATGTTTGAAAAAATATCGGAGGTGTTTTAGTGGCTCTTCAAGGACAATTTAGTCGAAATCGAGAAATGGGCATAGGCGGGGCATTTAGCACCTAGGCAAGGTAACCTGTAGCATCTCCAGTAACTGACTGAATTCCAGGAAAAGGCAAGTGTGGGAGAGGGGCACAGAAGTTCAGGTGGGCAGATGACATTAAGAACATTGTGGGAATGGTGTATCAGCAGCTAGCACAGAATTGGGGAGATAGGCGAAACTAGACTGAGGCCTTTGGCCTGCAATGGGTGTGGTCGGGATGGTATGATAATGACTACGTGATACAGTGGTTCGGTGGCCGCTGCATTTTCTAGATGCCAGGTTGGATACCCTGAATGCTGGAGATGTGCTAAATTGGTACATGCAGGAATGCTTATGTGATTGGTTAAGGAGTGATTCAGGTGAGAATGGCTGAAAGCTGCAAATAATTTGGTACTAAATAGTACTCACTACAAAATACAATTTTTTGCCCAAGGTACCAGGAATGCTTGGGAACACAGTGGTGTAGAATGCACATGCTTACATTCATGTATATATGGACCATCTGTATGTTGACCACAGTCATGCTCTTTCTGCAGACACAGGAAACTATGGCAAATGCGTGCATCAAATCGCCATCTTCCCACGGCTTGGAACAAAAATCAGCCGCTTAACTACCCAAATCATGTTGCATTTCATAAACTTAACATCACAGCACTTCCTTCAGCTTCATCATTGCAAACTATGGTGGGGAAGGTGCCACCGTTTGATGCTACTTGACAGTTTCAAGCTACAAATTTTTCTCGGCAGCCAACGAAGTTGCCCAAGACTGTTCTACTTTTTAAACATCTACATATGGGGGACACAATTAATGCATGAGTTGGCGCTTATCAGGAACTACACCATGGGTGCATTGCTAGTTCCGTATTTTAGGAGGTGCCGGCCACTTTGGGGGGGGGGGGGGGGGGACCAGTTTAGTACGCTGTAGTAGGTTGAACATTTTTTTTATTATTTTCACAAATTTTCACCGAAACAACAGTGTTTCTGATGCTGTGCCAAGCATTCTGCTTCCGCAGAGTCCCACAAAAGTGAAACGAAGCCCTAGCACACTTGCTCAAGATTTAGCATTTTGGTGACCTCGCACCCATTTCATTGGGAGGCCGTACGAGGCCTCCCACTAGCCCAACCATCTGCAAATCACTCGCTTCTAGCTGCCAAGCTGTGGTGAAATTTCCCAGTGCCTCATCCCTCAAAGCAGGCATCGTATGAAACATAGTGAATTGCCATATTGCCATAAATAACTGAGCAAAGTAACAGAGCCGCTGTAGAGTGCAGCTATAAAACTGCATAAGTTTGGTCAGTTTAAACAGGGAACAAATTTTGATGACGGTCAACTTGTCTGTGGATGTTATCATGGGACATATGTTCTGTTCATCAGCATAAAAAGCTAAAGATAAGTGATAGAAAGTTGCAATAGGTTCTGACAGTGCTGCCTGCAACGCTTCCACCATGAATGGGAAACACCGCATATATTCTTGTCCTTGTGAATTTCTCATGTGCTGCGCATTCCCTTCCCCTTTCTTTTAAGACCATTTATTGTGTGCCTTAACTTCCAAACAATCGTCTTTCCTTTTATTTTTTTTATTATTAAGAACCCCCCACATTCACATCTCGAACTTCACGCTGTATGCTATTTACTTTTATTTCTCTCTTTATTTTGCCGATATTAGTCGCTCTCCGGTTATCGCAACACTTATGGATCTGAATCTAAACAATCTACTGACCAAGTATGTTTGATTGGTGGAGATCAAAATCGTCTGTGAGAATTGGTGACAGAAATATTCTTGCTTCACTTCACCTTAAAGGCCAGCTGCAAAGAACTCTATGCTGGCTGTTTTTCACTTGGAGTGAGCTTTATGTGCCACTGAAACAACCTTGACGAGGCTGCGGGGTTGGTACTCTTATAGTTGGCGATAAGTAATGTTGCTGTTCTTAATGTTTCTGCCCTGTGCAAGTATCTGGTACCAGAAAATGTTGACACTAAAAGCAATGCATTTTGTAGCAGACTCTGGGGACTTTCATGCAAAGTCTCCCGAGAACAGTTAGACACTGCAAACTTACCTTCTGCCTTCACTTCTGCATTTAAAACATGCCCTCTAACATCGATTAAAATGCTAGTCAAATCTTGTTGGCCATACATTGTACTGTCTGTTGCATGCCAATCCTGGTGTCTGCCACTTACACGCAACTTGGTCATTAAGGACTTATCCTTCTATCACTTTAGTCATCACGAGCAAAATATAGGGTGGTATTTAAAGCGTGCATTCGTCACCAGGGCTGTTCCTAGCTGCCTCAGTGTGTGGCCTTTGGAAGCTTGTCGTTAAATTTAAGTGTGTGAGTATGAATTATTTTCTAGTGTAGCTACTCCAGGAACATTTTTTTTAATAACCCCCCCCCCCCCCCCCCCCCCCCCCAGGGACCTCAAGGCCTTGTTTGATGTTTGGAAGTTCTGACATGTTCACTAGCGCAACAGTTCTTTTATGGAGGTGCCCTAGAGCAATGGATGTGATAGGGGTATTGTCTCTTTTTACTACTATTGCTAGAAAATAGGCAAGGCTAGTTAACTCTGAGCGTGCTTAGCATGCTGTGTTTATCAACATATTACATAGAAGCACTTTTGTGTATTACAAGCACAGACTTATTTATTTCTTTGTGGATCCTGTCTTACACAAGGCAGTTATGCCTGTAAAAAAAATATCTTTTCAGACAAGCTATCTTACAGTCTTGCACAGTACGAGCCTGTGGTCAAATACAATAGTCAATGGTATCCACAACTAAAAAAAAGTCAACGTTTACCATAGCGGGGCCATAAACATGTTTATGTACACTGATGTTTTCTAAAAAATTTTCATGCAAGCCAGTTGAGACACTCTTGGCATGTTTTTCACAGCAAAATGAATCATCATTGAGGCACCGTTTTGCAAGTCATAATTTACACTAGTCAACTTTTTAAGTACATTTTTTAAATGTAATTGCTAGATGGCTTCAATGAGAACAACATTACAGCTAGATAGATGTTTGGGCATGTGTTAGTTACAGATAGGGAACCATTGTTTGTTAGCGCTTGAAGGGAAATGAGTTGGTGATTTGCCAACTCGTCTCTGATTATAAAATAAATAAAAGCGAATGCATCTGATCTGATTAAAATTGGCTGCTGCTACAAAGGGCAGGGTAGGAAGGTGTTAAGAACCTTTAAGTGGGGGTTAACATTTGTGCTGTTTGGCTCATGATTTCCAGCTGAAAACAGTGTTAGAAGACTGCAGGAAAGGAGGATAGAATCTACGGCGCTGAAGCCACAGCGCCGAGATTTTGTGTCCTTTCTTCGTCTCGTCTTCTAGTGTTGCCACTGGAAATCGGAGGGCCTCCTGAGCTCGCGTGGTATCGTAACTGACAAGTGAAAAACTCCCTCCAATACCAGTTGTGCCGAAAACGTCTGCACTCTTACTCAGCCTTCTTATCGTGCATGGCTGTGCAGACACCATGTGCACCTTCAGAAAAATGTATAGTGCAAGTTATCTATGATCTTTGAACTTCCAAAAGAAAAAAAAAAGACAGGGTAATGTTGGAGTTGTCCTTTCAGGCTAGTTGAATGAAAAAAGTAACTGCATTTTACTGGCTCTAATGCATAGCAGATGCACTTTCTTTCTTTCAAAAGAGTACCCATCAACTTGAGTCATCTTAATTTGTATGCTCACTTTTATTTGTGAAGCGTCTGAATTCATTCAAAAAAGTGCATCAAATGGCACAAAGAAATTTTGGTTACAAGCTTCAATGTTGTGGGCAAAAGTGCAGAACATTTTGAATGAGGCGGTCACTTGCGGAGAGCTGTGAAAGTGTTTGAGTGAAGAAGTGTTGATTATTTTCGGCAAAGACAGGCAAAACAGAAAGCAGTTGAACTGACATGGCCCTGCAACCCTTTGCCACAAATGTTTTCTATTCATTTCAGGTTAAGAAAATAGGTTTTCTTTTTACTCGCCTCGATGGGAGTTTGTGTGGCACTGATCACGCAAACCTCTTAAGTTGGCCGTACGACGCCTCGCACAATTTAATGATGTTTTGCTTGGGCACTAAGAGCATGACCTGTTGAGCATTCTTAGAGGTGTCTTTAATATGCAATGCAGTTGAGTAGGCCTACCGTTATTGTCTCAATATATTTGGCTACTAGCTTAAAGGGGTCCCTGCAACGCTTCAACACGGCCAAAAAATAGCACTGATCCACAGTCGGCATGTGAGCCCAATATTGTCACACCAAAAAGCAGCATAGAATTTGCAATTTTGTATCAAGAACAGAATTCCAATTTGCCGTATCCACAATGTCTCGTTGACTATGCAGTAAGCAGGTTGGGTGCTGGTAAACTATCTCTGGAGCCATGCGACAACGTTATTGTAATCTCAATTTGGAGAGTGGTCAGTGTGATCGAAGGAAAAGAAAATGGCAGAGGCGTGGCAATCTAACATCAGGGTTGCTCATCGCACCCCTGAAATCCCCCCCCAGGTATTGTTTGACGCTGCTGGCAACAAAACGAGAAGGAGATGGCGTCTGTAGTACAGCAACTTCAACTGCACTGAACAAATGTGTTAGCTGTTGTGGAAGATTCATTAGCCAGGAGTCCAATGCTATGGTCATTATTCAATATGTATAAGGTATGGCAGATAATCCTTAAATTAGCAGCTTTCTCTGGAGCCTTAATTTTTATCACAACTCAATGCTCACATCAGTTTTGCATGAAAATTAACTTTTCTTGATAGAGATCTTACAGTAGACCATCACGTGGGTTGCTTGGCCTGTCCTAACTGTTCTCTTCCTTTGTGCGGTGCTGGGTTGACTTGGTGTGTAGGTGTTCGTCGTTGCGGAACATTAGGGACAATGAAGAGAAGGACTCTGCCTTCCGCGGCATCTGCAGCATGATCAGTGTGAACCCCGGCGGAGTTGTGCACGACTTCATTTTCTTCTGCGACGCTGTCGCATCTTGGGTCAACCCGAAGGCAGACCTGAAGCAGACGTTCCACGAGGTGAGATGTTACAGGGTGGTTGGGAGGCGGAGCGGGATCTAGTAATACTCCTGAAGCCTTCCAATAACATTACGCACTCAACGCGCTATGTTACAAAAGGCATGGTGGAGTTATTCTGGAACTAACGCGGCTGCAACAATAACGCCGGACTTCGGATGGCACATGTATTAAAGCCGACGCACTTTGTCGCTGATCAGATTTCCCGCGACCAACTGTGATAGCCACTATCGGTGTACAGTGTGTACCGCTTGTACTTTTAATTTCATTGGTGCAAGTTCACCCAATGAAGAGTTTGACAGCACGACTGTCACAACCACGTGACAGTGGTTTCGTCAGAAGTGAACTTTTATTTTCCAATGTTCCTAGTATTATGTTCAGTGAAAAAAACACTTCGAACAAAAAGCGGCCTGGTGCAACTCTGTTACGAAGGTGAATGGCAGACTGTTAAGGGCGGAGCTCAAGTTTTTGGGTTGCAATCAACTGCAGCAGTACACGAGTAATGAACATGGTTTTGACGAGGCAGCAGTTTTTTTACTACATCTGAGCCTGTTTTACTGCACAGATACTCCATGGCTTCAAGAACCAGGTTGGGGAAGAGAATTGGCAGCGCTTTTCCGAACAGTTTCCACCTGCCCTGAAGGAGAGGCTTGCGACCAATTACGGCGTTTGAGAAAGGTATGGCACCTATCCACCGTATGGCATTGCGACAGGTCTTAAGTACAGAGAATTGTTAATTACAGGCCACAACTCCAACTGAGCATCTCAAAATTGGATGGGGGGGGGGGGGCAATCGACGGAAAATAAATATCAAGCAACATGTTTGATGTTAAAACAGGCATCCATCCATTCATGTAGAGTAATAGCAGTTTCCTTTGCCATAGGTGGCACAGTCATTGTTTTAGTTGAGCATTCATCTGTTATTTCGCAGGGCGCCCTCTGAGGGAAGTGTTGGAAGGCGTCGTGTGAAGAAGACACGGGAGTGGAGAAGAAAGCACACACGCGTTTTTTCTCTACTCAACCAGAGGGTAGCAACCGAAGAAGAAACCAACGTGCCCCCTTCCAAGCCGCTGCCACCGTTGTCGTGCTGGGCCCTAACCGCCTCCGCGTCGTACCGCCAGCCATCGCGTAAAGAACCGGGGAGGGGGGAGTGTCCGCGCTGTTAGTTGGGGGTTCCCTGAAGCTGAAGAGGGACAGTAAAAACAACCGTATGTTCGCGTTTAGATCTCGCGGGATGGACATCTAGAAAAATCGCGTTCGCGTACTCGTGTGATGGACATAGTAATCTCGCGTGCCTCCGAAGGGAAACGAAATATGACTGGTCTCCTCCGCCGAGACGATTTCTCTTTCGTGGTAATCTGTTCGCGTCCGGTTCGGGATAGCTTCGCGTCGCCGTATTTCCGCTAGGTCATATGGACGGGTTAACAGAAAGGTGAAAACGCGCCTTGTGTGTGCGGTGAACCTGCGGGATGGAAAAGGAAATCGGGATGTTGTGTGGACGGCAACGGCACAATCGTCATCCTAGGGAGATATCAAAGGTGCTCTACTCTGGCTGCTTGGAATGAGCAAAAAGGACGGAAGTGGTGCCACCCTGTAGGGATTGGAGGAACTGAACCCTTCCATCGGATAAAAACTGTCCGTTGCCACTAGCCGCGTCCTGTGCCCTCCAATGGACTTGTGCCGAACTTGCGTGCCGAAGCGTCAACAGTGATTCTGCAGAAGAAAGAGCATGCCAAATCTTTCTAGAGCCAATGAAATAAGTGAAACTTTTTTTTTTGCCGATCGCGAGTGTCCTATACACATTCTGTCTAGGTCGTTTTTTCATTGTAAGTTGTCGCTGCGTTTGCAGTGACTGCCGCTGTCACGTGTTGTTGCGCTATTATTTCATTATTTTTTCTTTCCGGGACAAGTCAGTAAGTTACCTCGCGGATGCAATCGATAGTCTACGCGTTGTTGGATCCCCGCTTTAAATGCGCGATAAGGGTCATATGTGCTTTTTCTTCCCTCTAGTGAGACTTTTTTTTTTCCTCATGTCGGCTACATCTTGGCTCGTTTATTTTATTGTTACGCCACGTAAAAAAACTGTTAATTCAATCCTCTCTCGCGACATTGGGGTTTCTGCCAACTTGTGTGCTAACTTTTTTCACTGTGTAACTGTAACACAGCTGTTTTTCAATTGAGCGACAGTCTGTTTTACTGTGTGTTGCTAGGATATTCTTTTCATTTTTGCCAAAGGCAGCTTTTCCTCTGTTTTTTTTTTCTTTGTTGTACTTAAGGAGACTATTTTTACTGTTTTTTGTACAGAGTTAAAAAAAAGTGACTGTCAGCTTGTTTTTTAGTGTCGAAAAAAAAAAGTTAACAAAGTTCCTCTGATTATTCTTTTTCTTAATGTACTCGTGAGCAGGAACGCGACAAGTTCTCAATGCGTGTGTCGGGGGTCCTCAGGTTACAGTTTTTTGAGCTGGTTAGTCAGTATAGCAACCTTAGGAGAGTGAAACAAATTGGTCATTTTGTTTTAACTTTATTGTTAGGTTAATATTTTTTTTACTTATACAATTTTTCTCAAAGGATCTGTGATGCTACAATTACTAGAGTGCAAGATGAGTCGTTGTTGTACAGGAAGTATTTCTTCACGTATCGCTTTTTCCATCATTTATTTTTTATGGACGACACACATAACATGGGTGGGAGCCGCGTGAATGTGTAGTAGCGAGTGCGCGTGTGACTGCGTGTCTTTTTTTCTTCTCCTTCGCGTTTTTAACTTTTTTTTTTTCATCGCCGTCGTCGACACGTCACACACACACAACTTCTTGTCATTCCTCGTGATGAAAAGCTCGTTTAAAAAATGTTTCCTGGGAAGGGGGGTGGGGGTCGCGTTTAGAAAGCGAAAACTTTGTACGGAATGGGACAGAATAAAATATCGCGTTAATCAAAAAAAAAAAAAAAAAACTGGATCGGTTTCTCGCTCGCGGCTTAGCGAAGGCACGAATCGCGTTGGCCAGCGTCTTTGGTTCCCCGTTTGTTTTTCTCGTATTTTTCCGTCGTGTGATGCCCTTCCTGAAAAAGTCCCAAGATTCCCCTTGCTTCGAATCCCAATATTCCTTTCAGTTCATTTGTACCCTGTGGCCAGAAGTGAAGCGGTGCGACTTCGTGGGTGCCTCGATTGGTTTTTTTTGTTGTTGTTGTTGTTGTTTTCCTTGTTCCTGAATTTTGGCAGAATAGCTAGCCGATGCTGTCGGTAGCAAGCACCCGGAAACTTTGTGTACTGCTGGGCTGGTCCCCGCTTCCTGTTTTTTCTTTAAACTGCATTGAATTGTTTACCTTGTTTTGTTTCCATCTCCTTCACCTGAGCGGCTTGCCTCGTAAATAGGCCCTTGATGTGGCTGCCTTTTTATTTTATTTTTCATCAAGCTATCTGCCGGCATTCCTCCGCACCTCTTGCTTATTTCTTTTGCTGGCTTAACGTCAGCAGTCATGGTCGTGTGAAGTTAAAAACTGTTGAAAAAAAAAAAGTGTTTTTCCTAGGTGTCACACCTTTCCCTCTCGTCCTCGCGGAAGTTTTTCAAGCCTCCACAGAGGGCGTCTTGTTTCCGTTAGATGTGTTTGCACACGCGTACCTGCCATTTTGAATGAGGCACCCGTCTCAAAAAGATGCTTGTCATAGTGATGACTTTTGATGGGAGCAGTTTTTTTTCTGGTTGTTGGTGTGTAGTGATGCTTATCTGTTTTCGTTATCTTTTCCCTCTCACCATTTTTATTGATGCGTAGAGAGATGTGATTTATTATTGCATGTGGCAGGACACTTGCCAGGTGTTTGTAATTCTTGCTCTGTGCCATGACAAGGGTTTCTTTTTCCCCCTTTCTCTTTCTCAACAGAGTTGAACCTATTGCAGATTTATTTTTGCATGTTTCTTGTGCGTGGAGGAAAGTTGGAGGAGATGGTTTATTATTAATGGTCATTCTGTGTGCGAAAAGGCTTTAAATATTCCTGACCATTGTTATTCAGCTACTGAAAGTGATAGCAAAATGGGATAAATATGGAACTGCCTTCTGTTATTCAGTGTTGTTAAAAACAAAAGAGATAACGACAATGACTTTGTGCTTTTTCTCTGTGTAATGTGCATGAATTTGTGTGTACCTTGGTTTTTATTCACTTCAGAACATTCACCTGAAAAAAAAATGCATGCAGTTGTTTCAAACAGGTTCTTGAGTCTGTCTGCATTATTGTAGTGTAGCCTTGGAGTGTAAATGGACTTTTGATGCTTGTTCTTAATGACCATAGTTATTTAGTCAATACAGTACAGGTAGGCGGACAACCAGATTTCAGGCAACATACCTTACAAATTTTTAAAAGCGCAGTAGAGATTACCAGGCCCCGGCGTGGTGGTCTAGTAGCTAAGGTACTCGGCTGCTAAACCGCAGGTTGCGGGATCAAATCCCGGCTGCGACGGCTGCATTTCCGATGGAGGCAGAAATGTTGTAGGCTCGTGTGCTCAGATTTGGGTGCATATAGTCGAAATTTCCGGAGCCCTCTACTATGGCGTCTCTCGTAATCATGTGGTGGTTTTGGGACGTTAAACCCCACATATCAGGTAGAGATTACCAGAACTGCATAGCTAAGCTTAAGTAATTGCACCGCAGTTCAATGTATTCTTGATATTGTCTTAATGAGACATGTAATCTGGAAATGCTATATATCTGAGCAAACCCTTAAAACTTATCTGGCTGAGCTAAGCAATGAAGCCCTGAACACGGGCGATTTCTCTATGCAGCTGCGAACGTTTTAACAAGAAACTGTTGAAGCATTCATATCACGGAAATTTTGGTGTCTGCAGGAGTGTTGGCATTGTTAGTTGTGACTGAAAACTTGGCGTTGTCCTGGAGTAAAATATTGCGATGCATGCAAGAAAGAAAAAAAAATCAAACCCATGCACCCTCTGTTGCAAGCAGGCGTTCTACCTCAGTCACACGTATTTTTTGAACTACTTTGGTACAAAAGTCCTATGCCAGAAGTGTAAAATTTCACCCAGCATTATACCGTGTGATTTGCATAACGAGTGGCTGGTTTAAGGGCCCCCCTGTTAAACAGTGCTTTGGCACAGTTATAATTATTAGCAACAGCATCAACAAATTCTGCAGCTGACAAGCCTGCGAGTCCCTATGGCTCATAATGCCATTGGGACTTTTGCCGAGTACTTCATGAATTTGCAAAATAACTACGGCATAGTGGGCACTTTGCAACTGTTCTTGCTAAAGGCATTCTAGTTTGGTTTAACACGGCTGCAGGTTGCTTTTCTCGCAGGACAGTGAGGCATGCAGCAACAAGTCTGGCTTCAGCGAGTGAGAATGCCGTGTAAATAGGACCTGAATATGCGCTATTGCGTTAGACAAGCCTCCATTGAAAATGCAGCCGCCGAAGCTGAAAGTTCATCCCGCAACTTGAACTAAACTAATAAACTGCTGCTTAAAGGCCAACTCCTGCGATTTTTAGAGGTCATTAGATCTCAATGTAATTCACTGGGTGCGTTTCATTTTCACATTTGTGCCATTGATGCGTAATTGCAAGCTTGAGAGTTTTGCCGATTCTTTTCAAATGAATTTTATAGCTTCCATCCAAACGCTCACCTCGCTTCGCAGAAATAATGGGAACATTGTGTGCAAGACAGATTTTCGCAAGGAAGAAGTGACGGAACTTATGTGCCACTGCAGGGTCAGCCAAGGAGGCTATACTAAAGCTTTTAGTATAATCTCCTTGGGGTCAGCTTGTCTGCTATGGATTGATTGTGTAGGTTCGGTCGGCGCTTCGTTGGTTGAGCATTCGATTCCCATTTTCTGTGTTGTTGGCTTGTGATGGATGGCAAGTGGTGTTGTGTTGTGGGCCGCACGCAATTCACCATAACAGCATAAGCGATTCAGACAATCGCTGTAGGCACAAACTTGAACCAGAGTTATTCCTTAAAGTGAATTGCAAAACTCGTAATAGAATAGACTCTGTATCAAAATCCACCTACGTCATTATGGGAGTGTTTATAGAATAGACTCTTTTTATGTATCAAAATCTGCACACGTCATTACGGGAGTCTTTATATTGTCGTGCCATCTGTTGATCAGGACACTCACTATTAAATGCATTATTTGCGTTTTGTGTTGCCGTATCAAGTGGCGCGGCAGACCACCAACTCTCGAAAGTTCTGGCTAACTGCGTGTTCAGGTTTCGAAACGCAGTTTCTCAGCTTGGACAGCCTCGACAAGTAGTGCCATCTGGCAGCGTTATGGAAAACCAGGCAGACAAATACGAAAGTCTGTTCTGCTTCATGGAAGGGAAACAGCAATGCTTGTTCTCCAAACGTATCCAATCGTCTCCGAATATTTTTGAACTACTTTTCTCACAGTTGTCGGGGGCGTGACTAGTGCGTCTCAAACATAAAAAAGCACCATTGCCCGGACATGGTCACAATATCCCCAGAGTTGGCCTTTAAAGATAGTTTTAGAAGCACCAGTCAAAGCCCATTCGAGATGGCTTATTACGCTATTCCTGTCCAAAAAAACTAAGCTGCATCATGTTTTTGCGGAAAGCTTATTCCACTTGCTCTCAAAATGTAAATAGATGCACACGTCTTGTCATTGGGACATTGTCCGATGCAATTACTGCTAGGACACCACCTGATGAAGTGTGTTGTACGAAAGTTGCAGAACTGCCACAGTGGCATAGTGGCTAAGACACTGCTGCTGAAGTGCTGGTCGTGGGATCGAATCTCGGCGGCATTTTCAATAGAGGCGAAAATGCTTGAGGCCCGTGTGCTTAGATTTAGGTGCACGTTAAAGAACTCCGAGCGGTTCCGTAGCCCTCCACTACGGCGTCTTATAATCATGTGGCGGTTTGGGGACATTACACTCCAAGTATTATTTACGAAAATTGCAGGGTGGTTGTTGGGTTGTACTGCTGGCATCAGGTAGACTTGTGGTTCTTGCACTTGGTGATATTGCGAAAAGGCGCACGGGAATTCACCCCCAGCCAACTGAAAGTAGAGCGTTGGCTAGAATGTTAGGAAGCCCCTAAGGTTCAAATTTGAGTTCAATAAGATAAGATATTAGAGCATAAGCTTAGTAAAGATGAGGATCAAAACTGTCAGACAGCTCAGTGCTCATTTCACCGAGAGAGTATACTGTTGTGTGTGTCTGCCGGAAGTCAACGTGGCACATGCCCACTACAGATATATTTTTCCCGGCTAGCACCATCTTATATGGAGCAATGAAATTTCCTGAAGCCTTCTCTGGCATAATGTATGCTGAAGTAGTGAAGTGAATCTGCCTATTTGTTGAACCTACGGATACCTGTTGGAAGGACCTCTCTCGGTTGGCGCTGGTCCCTGGTTCGATCCCCCGAGACTGGCTAGAGGCTAATACTCGTTTGTGTATATGCAAGTTTCGAAGAGGTAAGGATGTTGCTTTGGTGGCGGCACCGTGAGGCTAAACTGAGTTGTTACTGCATCAAAACAAAACAAAAAAAAACTAGCTTTAGTTCAAGTTTGGTGTTGGAACCGTGTGGCAAGACCGTGTCGTCGCAACACAAAAAGTATGTATAGTTTGGAAATTGGGTCAACGCCACTCTTTGCGGCCAATTTCGAAACAGAAAGGGCAGTTATTCTAACTGCATTGGTCTGGAAAACTTTGAGCAAGTGTTACTGCGATAACGACGCTTAGCTGGCCTCGCAGGCACATTTCAGATGAACTAGGTCGTTCTATTCTGGACACTCAAATTTCGGAATGGCGGCATTTTTAAGTCAATCGGTGCGTTCCCCGGCACAACCATTCACTGGCCACCCCGTATATGTAGGCAGTGAATGTTAGCGTTCTAAATATATTCGGTCATTCCGGCGGCGCCATGTAGCCGTGCTCCGAAGCGGTCACATGGTGATAAAACTGCGACGCAGTTCTGAACGCGTCTTCACGCTCTGAGACGCTGACGTAAACGCTCGCGATATCGTCTCGTCCGCCGTTTGTACTAGAGTTACTATATATGCTATATATATACTATATATATATACTGTTCTATATATGCTAAAGGTAGCATATACAGCAACTCTACCGTTTGTAGCTTCCGCTGCGCCGCCTATAGTCGTCGGAATGATGAAATAGTGCCGGACGGGAGATTTTTCCTGTGCGTTGTTGAAAAAAATGAAAATTCGCGGTATCGCCTTCATAAAAACGGACTGCGGGTGTCTGCGTCCAATCGCAGTCTTCTTGTCTCTCACTGCCCATTAGCAGCGCTTGGAATGTTCCGGTATATCACTGCGTCTCAAGTTTCTCCTGCGCAACGCCACTATGAACGCCAGCGTCGCCGCCAGTGTAAGCGCTAGCGCCTACTGCTTCGCATCGACACATGGTTCTCTTTAGCGGGAGATTGTGTAATTTTCTAACTTCTTTTTAAAGAGGAAAATTGTGTTTGTATTGGTAAATCACTATAGTGTATCCAGGGGTGGGGGGCGTGCTCTTTTTCCGGGAAAAAAAAATATATATTGCTCGGTACGCTACTTTATCGAATTACTTTTTCACGATACCGAGATCGCCACGCCTGCTGCTAGAAGAGGATCGGTGGGTGTGAAAACGCTTGAAGAGCAAATCCTGGTTGTAAGGTACGCCGCCTTAAGATTCATTCACGCACGAAACGCCGCGACGTCTGCTACAGTCCCGTGAAGTTCCTTATCGCAATAAACGATGTACAAAACCATCTTGTTCTATGGGCTCATTGAAGATGTTTTAAGAAGTTTCGTCGAGTGAATAGAGAGTTTTCGAAATAGGGTCTGCGGCGCTTTGGATACTCGCCAAAGTCCTACCTTTCTCTGTAATGCTTTTGACCTTGAGGGTCAAAAGCATTACAGAGGTTCTTGGTCAGGTCACGTTTGTCTGACAGTAACCTTTGGGGAAGGCTTTGCGGCTCCAGCTTAATTTCGTGAAATAGCGTACGAAAACCCAAACGCGGTTTGGGCTCTGCGCATGCGCAGTGGCCTTGACGCTATTCCTTTGGGGCCCCTATTCGAAAACTGCCCGATGTCGCTATGTGAAAAATACTATGTTAAATCCATGATGTCACGCGCAGCTCTTTCGGCGCGTAATTTAAAAATGTAACATTAACCTTGCTTTTCCTCTATTAAGTGTATGATAGTGAAATTAACATTTTTCAGAGCACAATCTATGTCTAAGCCGATAGCGTGTTTCACTTAAACGCCCACAACGGCAGAGCACCCTATCTCGTCATTTGACAGAGTTTGTAGACAAGGCGAAGCTAAGGTCATCAAATTCTGGTAGCCGGGTGGGGGAGATTTTCGAATTTTGCGTGTATCTACATAAACGCATGTATACAAACGAAAGCTGGACCGTAAATTATGACTAAACAGCCCTTCCCCCGCCCCTCCGAAAACAAGAGCTGGCAACGGCCCTGATAGTAGTCGCTATACTTTGTATGGTCACTCCGCGGCAACAAAACTGCAGATGTCGATTTTCGGAACCACGTTAACACTTCGAAAATAGAAGCGGCATTCAAGTAAGGCAGCTCAGTCTGAACAGGAACTGATCGCGCTGCCAATATTGCTGCCATCGCCTGCTTTCTAATGATAATTAGTGGCAGCAAAAGCGTAGGCTGAATTGGGATGCAATATTAACATGCAAACAAGAGGCTCGCAAACCTTTCAGCTGCTTTGAAAGGGACTTGTTTTCTTAATTGTCCACAGGTACAAGTTTTTATGCAGCTGCATAAAAGTACTGGTGGACCAACAATTTAGCACTAGATTGGAGGAGCCAAATGTTTTATGGATTCAGATGAATGGCAGATCTCCAGTTTCTGCTAAAACTTCAGTGGCATTGTATAAAATTGCAATGGAACAAAAAAACCCCTAAAAACAAAGGTCAATTACAGTAGTGGCAGATGCCATATCTTCAAAGGTTGGCCTTCAGGAGTAAAGAACTGGGTGTATAGAAGTACACATGAGAAATAGGTATTAAAAGACTAAGCAGATGATGAAAATAATGGTAATTAAATGTGCGGTCCAAGTCGCAAGTTCAGTAAAAGGTGAAAAAAAAAAAAAAGAGGCGTACAAGAAAGTGAAAAAAAATGTCTTTTAATACTTGATATGAAGGAGGATAGAACAGTACAGTGTCACAAGAACATGGGGTTGAACAAGAGTGGGCTTTGGCTTGAAGCTGTGGGAGAGGGGACTTAGTGATCAACCTTTGAGAAGTAGGCCTTGCTACCCTTGGGGTCGGGCTTCATGGTGTCTCCACCAGGCTTCCAGTTGGCTGGGCAAACTGGATTGAGACAAAAAATTGGGAAAATGATGAGTGCAAAGGAAGTGTGGTTCTGCACCATAATGGGCAAGAATGAGAGTGATCATGAACAGTAGTAATGTGGATAAGAACTAGGTGCTTAAGTGATCAAGAGGAATGAACAAGAACATTTTCAATCTGAATATTTATGCCAGTGAAAAGCAAAAAAAAAAAAAAAGGTGTTCAGCGAGGGAAATGTACTTGCAAAGATCTTATGTGAACAGGTGAATGAAGAACCATTACACGGCAAAAATAGAAACTTTGGTGCAGAAAGAAAGGCAACATTACTGGAGTGGCTTCCAATGGACAAAGCACGAGAGAAAGATGGACAAAATGATTCCGTAAAGCAGCGTGGTTCTCGATTATTTTAAATATGCCTAGCACAATAGGTGACAATATATCTGCAAGCACGAAGAACAACACATCTACAGTAGGACTAGAGCGGCATACCTTCTCCGTACTTGTCTGTATACTGGAAAGCCTGGACAAGCCGGAGGGTCTCGTCGACAGAGCGGCCAACAGGGAGGTCGTTGATGGTCATCTGGCGAAGAAGGCCCTTGTTGTCGATGATGAAAAGGCCACGGAAAGGAATACCCTCATCTTCCTTCAGGACACCATACGCTCTTGCGATTTTGCTGTTCTTGTCGGCCAGAAGTGGGATGTTCATTTCGCCAAGGCCACCTTCCTTGCGGGGCGTGTTGATCCATGCCAGATGGCAGAAGTGACTGTCAGTGGAGCAGGCCACCACCTCGCAGTCGATCTTGCGGAACTCTTCAGCACGGTCGCTGAAGGCGATGATCTCCGTGGGGCAGACAAAAGTGCTGAAGAGGAAAGAAAGACTGGTGTGAAGGGTCGTGCAAGAATGACTAGCAATGCCGAGAGGTAAATACAGTAGCGATTGTGGAAACTACAGAAAAATCTGCAGATCCTAGCAAGGGAAGAGAATGTGCTTAGAATCTCGAAAGCACTTCTAGGAAGTGACTCGCGATAGGCATGAATGAAAAAATGCAAGTGGTCTCTAGGTATGTAGCTCAAAAATTCGGGTGTGCAGATTCAGTGATATAGCGTATCTGGCTGATCATGTCAGGCTTTCATGTGCCGACGTTTGATGTGTGCCTTGAACTATGCTTTTGTTCCGGAGGCGCGCACATATGGACCAATGAAAAGAAAAGTATCGCTTAAGAAAAGCGCTTAAGAAAAGTATCGGCAACACTCGACAGCAGTACGCAACAGGATTACTTACAAGTCAAGCGGGTAGAAGAAGAGAACCAGGTACTTGTCCTTGTAGTCTGACAGCTTGATTTCCTTGAATTGACCATCGACTACGGCAGTACCGCAGAAGTCTGGGGCAGGCTTGGTCAGCTGAGGAAGGGACATGTCTCTGCAGAAAGAAAAACAGAAAATGCGATGTAGCAGGTCGGCGTTCGGAGCGAAGCGCAGTACCCGAGTATGCAGGACGCAGGTGCGCAACGTATGATTGACAGCAAAAACAAACACAGCGCGGCACGCAGAGCAACAGGAGGATACGAATAAATATACAAGAAAAAGTGAGAGGGGGCAGAGGATGCGGCATATACAAGGAGCGATACGGTACACGAAAGCGACACGACCGTTAAAACGATGCGACAGGAGTCTCGAAGTACGCAAAATTATCAATTAAATTAACGACAACGGCCGCCGGAGGTGTGTTACGAAAGAAAACGTACCGAGAGCGCGGACAAGTACGGCGCCGTACAACCCAAGGCGACAAGTCAGGCAAATTCTTACGACCTTGAACAATGCGACGAGGCGGTGCCAACCCGCGCATGCCGGCACATTTCATTGACCGCCGACATGAAGGAACGGAAGGACGCAAAGGGTTACAATTTCGGCACACGAAGAACAGGCATATCCTCTTCATCGAATTGAGCCGCAGCAGACAGGCACACGGCAATGTGCCAGCGAATGCAATGAGTAGGCGACATAAAGCGGTGCGGAAATCGTACCGCAGTGTGCAAGAATTCGCTGCGGAATATTCCGACGGAGATTCCGACGGGCTGGCGACAGGTAGCTGACGGCTTTCTTCTGCCGCGAGAGACGAATCATAAGAGTACAGAGGCACAATGGGCTTTCTCCCAGGCCTGCCGGCGACAAAGAACCACGCCGGCCGTATGAATGGGAATCGGGCATAGATCGGCGCGGGATGAACCCGCGCCCGCCTACACGGCAGGCAACGAAAATACGAGACAATTGGATTACTCACGTGACTTTGGTAGGTGGTATGTGCAGAGAAGAGAAACGTAGGGTAATCCACGGAGACACCGACAAAAAGAACCGCTACCCGGCTCGAAAGGAGAGCGCTATCTGCGACGAGCGGCGGCGCGTCTTTCCGTTTTTGTACTTTTTGCGCGTCGCAACGAGCGGGGAGGGAGGAAATGGCGCGTATCACGTGACAGGCGCGCAGAGCCCTTGCGCGCGTGCGTAGGGGCAGCTCTTCGTTTTTTTTTTTTTCGTTATATTCGTATTTTTTTTCCTTCGGCGCTGGGTTCACTTTCCAGAACGTTCTTTTCGCGAGCACGCGCGACAATCGGCACAACGTAAAGTGTTTATAAACAGTTGTGATAGCGAATGGAGGAAGTCTAGCAGGCGCATACGCATGAGGCGACACGATTCAGGGCGACGTTATTACTATAATTGTTAGTCACGTGTTTATTTTGTCTGTTATTTTTTTTTTTTCGTGCAGTTTCTAGGCATGATCGAATCCTGGCTTCATTTTCGATAGAGGCGAAAATGCTTTAGGTACGTGGGCTCAGGTTGATAGATGGATATGTGGGGTTTAACGTCCTAAAACCACTGATGATTAAGAGACGCCGTAGTGGAGGGCTCCGGAAATTTCGACCACCTGGGGTTCTTTAACGTGCACCCGAATCTGAGTACACGGGCCTACAACATTTCCGCCTCCGTGGGCTCAGGTTAGGATGCACGTTAAAGAGCCCCGGGTGGTCGACATTTTCGGAGTCCTCTACTACGGCGTCTCTCATAATTATATGGTGGTGGTTTTAGGACTTTAAACGCCACATATCAATCAATCTGTCAGTTTCTAGTACTCGCTCGCTTACTAGGAGGTGTGGCGTGGAGGATTCCTACTCGCGCTTTTTTTCTTGAAGGTGCGTCCGGTTGCTTTGGTGTTGCGACCATGGTTAACAATATTCTTGCACCGTGACTGCGACAGAAACCCGTAGCCAGGGGAGGAAGAGGAAACCCCCCCCCCCCCCCCAAAAAAAAAAATTGATGAAGTAAGGTGTTGATACCGAACGATAAGCTTTTTGTAGCCGCCGACCGACTGATTTTATTTAGGTTGGTCAGTCGCCGATGTTCAAAGGCGTTCAAATACCTGCAGTGTTGTGAACGGGTCTGCTAGCTTACCTTATTCTAGGCAGCGTTCTTATGTAGGTTTAACGGGAAAGAAGGCAGTAAAATAATTGTTCTGAGGCTTACAAAACAATTGTTTTCGCTCGTTTTCAGGTGACCAGCTGTGCATTAGTGCTCAAGCTCATCGGCACTGCGGGACACTGCGGAACAACGGCTGGCTGACAAGGTGAAATGTTTTACGCTGTTGCCGCGCGTTCTAGGAGATGACCAAAAGGAAAGACTCGCTTTGGCGTGCCGTCTAACTTTCTAGAACATTGGCCGTGTCGGATGGCAACGTCCGTTCGAAGAAGCCAAGAGCGTCGGAATCTTTCACGGTGCGACTACCGGGGTGCGGCAGACGAGAGGGATTTCCCTCGTGACGTCACACCGTGACGTTCCGTGATGATGTAATCACGGATCGCGGCGCCCACTTCCCCTCGCCAGGCGCCCGTCTGTATCATTTGCATTCTTGGCACCGGCGGCGGCTGAAGAGAACACGCCTAAAACCGGCTAAAAGAAGCACCTGGTCTGTTCCGAGAAAATCATCCAGTCTGCGTTACGAGTAGGAGTCGCCTGTGCAGCTGCTACTTCGCGAGCCGTCGGAGCCCTGCGATGGGGCTTATCACCTTCAATTCACGCGACTGTTTATGGTTTGTTCTTCTAAATTGCGTGCGCGCTGTCTTCCCGATCACAGCGTGGCATGACGGCTCACCGCCCCACCCGTCAAGCAGGGTGACACGGAATAACAGTTTGATATGCCAGAAACAGCATATTTTCTAACGCTTTTACCACCGCTGGCTGTGGTAGCCGCCGTGTAGGATCCATTTTAGACGTCACCTAACGAGGCGTGTATAACTTCGTGTGAGGGCTTTTTTTTTTTTTTAAGGCGATAATCTTTTTTTTTTGGGGGGGGGGGGGGAATACTCCGACGCTAAAATTTTGGTCTGCCTGTCCGTCGACTTGTCTGTTTGTCACCCGAAACGGTTTGTCTCTATCTTTTTTTTTTGTTTGCATTTGATTCCAAAATCCAACCACATAAGCAGCGCACACAAATATTGCTCTGGTATCAGCGTTCTTACTTGTGCGTAGTACCGATTAAAAATCAAATGTTGCGCATATCAGAGGCAGAACATCAACACGTCAATACACTGTGGCGTTGTAATACTATAAAAGTCATACATAAGTAATTCTAGGGAACGTAGCGTTTATTACGATAAGCTGAAAATTCAACGTTATGCTCGAAAAGGCGGGTGTTTCCCGCGCTTTGCTAACACGATACGATTCACCGAATTTCTCCCGCTGAATTCAAATAAATGTTTCATTCACTCTCTCCAGACGGAAGACTATCATCGTTCGACAGTCAAACGTACAAGTACGGGGCCATTTTTTTTTCTCGTCACATCCCCTTGACTGGCAGCCATTCGGGTAGTATTTTGAATCAAGTCTCGACGCCATTTACATCATACGGTACTATACAGTACGTCGAGAACCCTATGGCATTCATCCGCAGGTCACGGGATCGAATCCCGGCTGCGGCGGCTGCATTTCCGATGGAGGCGGAAATGTCGTAGGCCCGTGTGCTCAGATTTGGGTGCACGTTAAAGAACCCCAGGTGGTCGAAATTTCCGGAGCCCTCCACTACGGCGTCTCTCATAATCGTATGGTGGTTTTGGGACGTTGAACCCCACAAATCAATCAATCAGTCCTATGGCATTTAAGAAAACGCGACAAACACTACAAGAGCGTCGCGGGACCACGTTAAGGAGTTGCTTGAAGGAGCAATGAATTATACGATTCCCCTTTCAGTGCCAGTCACGGTGACAGATATGTGTCCTCGTCGCGATTACTCCCACGCACGAAGTGCTCAGTATAGAGGGCGCCATGACGCCGTCACGTCTAGAGTAACTGTATATACTCTAGACTAGACTAGAGTAGCTGTATAAGTTACTCTAGTGAAGTCTAGAGTGACTGTGTATATTCTAGACTTGACTAGAGTGACTGTATAAGTTACTCTATATCAAGTCTAGAGTAAGTATATATCCCCTAGACTTGACTAGAGTAACTGTATAAGTTACTCTATATAGTCAAGTCTAAAGTAATTGTACTTGACTAGAGTGACTGTATAAGTTACTCTATATCAAGTCTAGAGTAACTGTATATACCCTAGACTTGACTAGAGTAACTGTATAAGTTACTTTAGTCAAGTCTAGGTAGAGTTACTGTATATGCTACCTTTAGTTATATATGCTGCCTAAAGGTAGCATATACAGTAATTTTAGCCAAGTCCCTCGCTAGGTGTGGACGGGTCCATGAGCGTGTGCAGGGCTCCCATTCAGAGGGGGGAAGAAGGGGGGGGGGTGAAGGTTCGTCTCCATGCCCCCCTCCCTATCATGTCAATGTACACTTTAAAGAGTTTTCCGGAGGAACTGCGCAGTTACTCCGACGAGGGCTCTTTGCTCCTCCCAAAAGACGAAATGTGCGCGAAAAATTGCACATGAAACGGCGAGGAGGAGCAATTTCCTCCTTGTGGAGTAAAGCGCCCGTTTTTTTTTTTTTTCGAGTATGCTGTACATAAATATTGCCTTAACTCACCGTCGCCTTGTCCACTCCGTATATCAGCTCTGCCCAGAAGCAGCCAAACTGTGGGAATGTTCGCGCCGTGTGGAAACGACCCATCGGTACCTACACAAGCATGTTTCCTATCAGAGGACGCCGTATAGCATGGTGTGGTGCAGTGGTTAGCGTACGCTCATGCTGGGTGAGTTTGAATCCCGCGCGTTTAGTGCAAATTTTCCGAAATTTATTCCTGAATGTGATGCTTGCACATTGATTGTACATCTAATCAAATGCCTGCGTGCTCTTCGAAAGGCTGGTTAAGTCAGTATAAACCTGATTTTTATTTTGCGCAAAATGACTGTTGCTTCCTTAAAGAGTCTTCGCAGTTAGTGCCAAAATGGTGCAATGGGTGTGGCAAGTTAGTTACTCCTGTAAAGAAGCAACCCCGTACCCTTTTTCCTCTTTTACTTCTTAGAGTCTATGGAGCTAACTTAGTGCCCCTGCTCGCCCTCCCCCCTGCCCCCTCCCCCTCGTGCGTACGCCTATAGGTGGCATGGGCTACCACTCAATCAGAAAGGTACAGCCAGCATCATCCATCCTCGTTAGAGCAAGATAGACACGTATATGCTTAAACGCGCTACAGCGGCTACCCATGCGCACAGGGGTAATCACTGTAGAGGGGAGCTAACCCAGTCGGCCCTGTCTCGTCATAGTTTAAACCAGCGAATTTTTGGAAACGCCCTGATGTTGCATCCCAGTCGCTTTTCGCCTTCATTCTCGGAAAACCTGAGGACAAAAGCAGGGGTCATTTCGAGAAGCACTTCACCGCTTCATCTAATATTTTTTTCGTTTATTTTTTTCTAAACTTTCTTTTGTCGGACTTGACCGATAAGGGTGACTGGCAGGGTCAATGCAGTGATACATTGCCTCCTCAATAGGAGAGCATTGTGCACTCTTGTGACTATGCCTCTTCGGACTTGACCGATATGGGTGGCGGGCAGGGTCATGGCGGTGATACATTACTTCCTCAATAGGAAAGCTCTGTGCACTCTGCAACTACCTCTTGCAACGCCGTCAAAACGACGTCGAGGCAGTTCTTCCATCGGAAGACGTCATTAACGCCCACGACGGCCAACAGTGGAGAAATAAACCACCGGCTCGGGGGACATTACGCATGTTATGCAACGCACGATAGGCAAGCGCCGTGCGCTGTAAATTTACTCATGTCAGTCCTATGCAAGTACGGCACGGTTAGACAGTCGCGAGGCAACAAAAGGTTTTACACGTACCACTTTTTCAGGATTATAGCCAGTGCTCTTAATGTGAGCGAGCTTCAGTTGACGTGGAATACCGATATTGGCGTGTGGTATACACGAGTATTAACTGCGGTTCTGGGCAAGATCGCAATGCCGTGGAAAATTGTGGCGAGGGAATCGAGCTTGACCAGAC